TGAGGGTTGTAGTAGAGCAGCACTTGTCGTAATAAATGTGGCTAATCAAGAAATAGCCGAAGATATTCGGCTATTTGTTGAGAGACGAGAAGCTCAGTAGAGGTAGAAGTAAAGTTAGTTCGAAAATTTAAATATTGAGTAAACATCGTTTTAAGTTATAACCTTAATAAGGCAGTCTTAAAAAAATGGTGATAGATTTACCGTACTTCATGGTCGAAAAGAAGTCAATAGGAGAAATTACTGAATATATTTAAATTCGGAAAAGCATTGTAGTGTAATAATCTTTTAAGATATTCAAGATGAGATTCCACAGAGAAAGTAATTGTGTAATCATGAAGCAATCGTTCTGGCAGTAATTCTATCTCGGTTATCTTACGATAGGTTATAATAAATACAAAACTGATGCGATATCAAAATTATCATCTTGAGAGCGGAAATCCTTACTTCACTAAATTGTAACTGGGGTAAGCCACTGATATAATTACTATATATTATATATCGTAGGGTTAAGTTCTAATTGGAGCATACGAACTCGTATAGATGTTGTAGATTTTCTGTTGGAATAATTTTATTCTCGTACCGTGATTTGCTTTACCATCTACTAAATTTCCCTTAATAGAGAGGTAAATTTTGGACTCTATTTCTTCTAGCTGTCACTTTGAGATGTGTAGCTATTCGGAAATGATAAAAGTATTAAAATGGTAGCAGATTGTCTACGCTACAATAGTACAGTTCCATCATGTAATCGTTTTTTATCAAGATGATCTTGTGTTTACAAGTCTTTAATCATCTTTTTTTATTGCTAGTCTAATTCTAAATCGGTACATTCTATCGCGATTGGGCTCATTGGCTTAGTTAGATTTTGTACTCTTGGGTTTAATGAATAAACATCACATATCCAATTTCAGTTTCATTCAACTATCTATTTGTTATGTTATGGATATCATGACCTTAATCTATCCAAATAGTCAATAAAAGAATTAATTTCCTTTGTTTGATATTTCAATTTAATCAATTGAATAAGTAGAGCTAAAGTTAAAGACATAATGCGTAATTACTTTTTAAGTAGATACTAGAAACTGGAGTGACGGATACAAATTTTACATAGTTACTTCAGTAGTAAGTAACTAGGATCTAACAGAGTTGAGCAAAATTTACAATTCTAGCCTTAGAAATTGAGACCAATACTGCAACGTATTAGTCCATCGCCACATCATGCTGGAATTAAAAATAAAGACCACTAATTTATATATCGGATTGAAACAACAAGAATAAATTGATATTACTAATAAACTTCAGAGGTATGTACGTGTACCGTATGTTTCAATTCCACTTTTCTACTTGATATCTGAGAATAGTTTAAATAAAAAAACGATAAATGATCGTTCTGGTCTTTAATTTCACAAATTTTATAATGCTGCCAGCCGGTCATTTATTACCGTCGTTTATTCCTTTTTACATTTTAGAGATTACTTTAGTAACAATTCATTCACCTAAGATAGACAAGAGGTTTTATCTATCTTGCCTAAAGCATCAGTAAATAATGCGATCAAAATAATTTATTGCAGAGTATCTTTCGACAATAATTGTTCTACATCGTACTGATAAATTATCTTTCGTCAAGTTGTCATTAGTCATAAACCATTTATGTTTTGTTGCAAGAAAAACTATAATTCAGGTAGTAGAATCGATATATTCCGTTATATTTAGTCAAATACAGGGGCATAGTCAGTATTATTTATCCGATATCATAGTTGAAGTAATTCGATTAAAGAGTGAAGGTAGTTAATATTTATTTTTCTCGAGTTTATTTTTTAGATTAATCAATATGGATAGTTAAGTAAATTAATAAATTGTTGCAAGTCGTGATACTATGATCCGGGAATTTAAAAGTAAAACTGTTACTGCAGAATCAATTGTAAAAGCTTAAGTCAATGTGAATATACCGTACAGATTCCTGCCTAATAATAAATTATAATTAAACTTCATTGAAATTAGCTGTCTTTAGTACCTCATTAATCTACAATACAACTTACCAGCATAGCAAAAGCTATAAACTTATTCTAGAGTTTCAAAGGATGAAAATGACGGAGATATTAGAATGAGAGATAGATCCGTAGATCACAAAGAAAATAGAGAGCGTAATCATAAAAGTATTAATACAGTACTAAAAGTGATCATGATAATCTCCGTGGACATAATAAATCTAATCTCTATCGTTATTCCAGAAATTATGAAAGTTGGAGTAAATGGCAACCATTCCTAGATATCCAAAATTCTTAAAGGCTGCGACAGATCCGATCTAGGAGTGTACTTGCTATTACATTTGAACTGAAATACCATTGTACTACAGATGGCACTGCCAGTCTAGGGTAACAAAGTTAATTATGGCAATTTTTAAACCGGTAATTTCACACATTATTGATGATGTTTAGCGCTACACAAGTAAATATGATACTTAAAATATAAACTTATTGTGCCATTATTACAAAATAAACGAAATTATGCACTATGCAAAAGAAACTATGAACGATTATGTCTCCGTAATAATTCGAAATAGAAGAATACAGTATATAATGGGAATATTTAAATAACAGCACCTGTCTATTATGTAGCACATACCGTACTATACTCTCATACAGGTAAATCATGAAATACAAATCAATTATTTATTATAATCGTAAATATTGATTACCATCGCTCTATGTTGTGAAAAATTCCCTTCATCTAATTATATATTATCATTATAAGTTATTTGATCAAAGGGTGTTCGTATCATTATATTGCTAAAGTCTCTTCGTGTAATAAACAAAAAAATGGGTATCCTCATACGTTTATTGCTTATATTATTAATGTGGTTTATTGCTGTTGCTAAACATTTTAATCTTGTTGATAGGCTCGTATATACATATCAATTTTACTACGAAATACGTTTAATAATAGGTGTTATATGATTAGTTAGAAACACTATATATTTACCTACAGTATATGATAATTGTATGGTAGTACTTGTAATACTGTAGGTGATAACGTTGTAAAAGGCGGACTGATAATTTACTAATTATAGTGCGAAGTATAAATTGTAATCGTATTGAGGCACAACCTCATATAGCTATAAATACCGATCGTTAATAATAAATTGCAGTTACAAATCTTATTTACGGAGTGAACTCATTGCTATAATATAACAATAGGGGTGATATTTGCAGAATATAAGCAATATACAATCCAATAAGTGACCCACTGTGTAATATAATGAGCTTTCGCAATAGTTGAAGATATTCTAATTTAACAGACCACACGACAGTAATCCATACCACTCAATATTTGCAGCCATAATCAGGCATTATGATCTCGTAAAGCTGAACTATAGTGTTTTTATATTTTAACATTATATATACGTTTAATGTATTAAGCATCATACTACCGCAATGTAATATGCACATAATTATTTAAAACTGCTTTATATATAACGATCTTGTGCAAGATAATCCTCACATGAAGTTATCTGTAATAATACACTCGCGTAAATTAGCACGGATAAAACTCATGGAGGACTCCTTAAGTGTAAAATGAGGTAAAGTTGGCACCAAATTGAGATAGTATTATATAATAGCAAGGTTTAAAATATCGAATAAGACAATATTAATGTAGCGCAGTGGTATAGTAAATCTACCCAAAGTATTAAAAATGAGATTTCGCTTGATTTTTCTATGTATTAGGAATACAAGTTATTTACAGGAAATGAAAGTCTTTAGAGAAGTTAATTCACTATTTATACATTGATTTCTGTACTGCAAAACAATATAATAAAGCATTAAATCATTTATTTGAATGCAGATTATATCTGATATTAAAATTTAAAAAATTTTGATGAGTTCTAAATGACGGTGAATTTACGTATAAACCGTCAATGGAGCAACTTTCATGTTGTCATTGTCATTTGCTATATTAGCATACTGTAATTTGAGTAATGAAACGGATCACAACGGTGCAATCTTGTACGAAATTATTTAAAATCTTTGTAATAGCACGGCCAATAAATTATTAGACCGTAAATGCTATTGCAATCTTTCATTTTTAAATCAGGCAACGACCAATCTTTATTATAACATCACTGCAATTTTCGTGTAAAAAGTTTTTCATGTACTGACCTTGAGCTATAATTTCTTATTTCTAAAAGTAAAGCCATCTCGCTAAAGTAATCAGTACAACAATTATTTAAGGTATCGGGATCGATTGTAATAAATATTCCATCTTTTTTTCAGGAGGTTATATCGTTCGTTTACAATGATCAGCTAACGTGATAAATAATCAACACGAGCAGGAAATTAACAGATATAAATAGTTCCTAACAATTCTAAATAGATACTTTAATTTCATGGTATTTAGTTAAATACCGCTAACTATCGATAAAGTTATTTACTACGTCATAGTGTTCTAGCAACGATGAAGCAAGCTTGATTGATTCTACACCATAGCACGATAGAATGTGATAGATGAACATAACAAATTAAATTTTATCTAAATTTAGCTACTATACAGGTTAAGATTGAGATGAGATTTATATCAATAATCATACGAGTAAGTACACATTGTCTTAACCGGATCAATATGCAAGCTTCAATAGATATTTATTATTTCTTATTCGTATTTAATCCTTTTAATGCAGAATTCGTAAAAAGTTAACGGAGACTATCAGATTAAGTACAGGCTTGGATAAGCATTTGAGTCTATAACATATTAATAATTGATCAATCAATACAGTATTTATAGATGTACCTAAGGTATATATTCTGTTGGATCTAACTATATGCAGATAATTCCTCTGGCATTAACATCTATTGCGATTGTAATAAGTATAGATATAAGGTATATTATCTCGTAAGTAGGCTTACACTAAATTTACTATTTATTTCAGTTTAATTGATAATATGCAATTTTAACGTGCTGTTGATAAACATCATTTTGGTAATTTTTTATATTTTTGATATTGCAGGATGTCTAATTTTACTTGCTTGGTGGTTATTTTAGCTGCAATGTTGGCTATTTGCTATGGTCGGCCAAGTTTTCTGGATAACGATCAAGATTTTAATTTACTAAAAAAAATTAGTCAAGAAAGAACTATTCTGTCACTTCGTAATCGTCAACGGAAGATATTGCTGGCATTTAATGCTTTAAAAAGCTTATATCCGAAGAAAGCTATGCATCTTTTTAGTAAATATAGAAAACATAGAGCTCTTAGCCGATCTGAACGTCGCCATAATACAGAAATTAGTAGGTTGAATGATCGTCAAAACGATTATGGACAACATGACGGTCGTGCAGAGGAACTTCGTTATGAAGATCTCAGAAGATTAAGTGATCTTAAAAGACGCTGGGTTAAATTCTATCGTCGAAATCACTAAAAAATAGGAGGATAATTTATGATAGATCGGTTTAATACAGATTGAATTTTACAAATTGGGCAAGAATGTCATACTTAGCACTATGGGCATTAGTGGTAGTAATAGGTCGTTAACTCGTGCTAGGTAATATTGCCCATCTGTAGTATTTCCCCCTTTGATCTGCAGGATGTAGCTATCTTTGAATTAGTTTTGAAATAGATTTTAAATCTATTTTCAGTAGTTTCTGTAAATTAAGGTTGTAACCGAGTAAATCTAGATTCTAAGAGAAGTTGTTCTTCATATCAATTCTAGACTGTGATTTAGCCGATTTGGTGATTCTTTTTGTTGGTATTTAGTAGCATTACACAACGTTCTGTTTTCTAGCCATTACTCTCAATGTAATGAGTAATATGATGTAATTCTTAGCATCATTAATGATACTATGAAGGAAGACACTAATTCTATCGTCTTTATGTATTAAATATATATCGTGATCTTATTCTATGTGTGCATCGTAAAAGGAAACTAGCAGAAAAATTTTACATAGTATGTGTCTGTTCTTAATCTCTGACGTAAAAAGGATACCAAATGTATTAATCATTCTCTAACTAAGTTCTGTAATAAAATAAAATAGATCGATACTTAATGGTAGATTGTTACTAATAATGTATCTACTGGTCAATCTTAAATAAATTAAGACATTACGACCTTTTTTAGTATCCAGCCTTTCTTAATGCTATTTCTACTTGATCGATGAGTAGAGTTATTTCTGATATGAAAATCCACCCAACACTGGCAATAGTCGGATAAGTCATGAGAAAGATTAGAAAATTGTGCTAAATGGACAAGATCAATAGAGTTGGAAAGCAATCTATAGGACGCTTGGAACTATAACTATTAGAACGCAAAGTACTATTAAGATACTATTTGGTTTAAGTTATTTAGTTGCTGTTTATTACTGCAACTTCAATTATATAATTGTTTTTCAATAATGTCCAATACCGTACACCTATCGCTACAATAGAAGATGATTTTATACCTGTATATTGATTTTATTCATGAGTTCAATATACACTTTAACTTAATGATGCATAACGATTAAACTTGAAAAAAGAGTCCTCTCACTATTTAGATGCTAAAATGCTCTCTACCATTCTTGATATATTGATACGCTACCTGTAGTTCTATTCTTTAGTATTTCATTATTAAGTAATACGATTTATCGTTCACGTTTATTGAATTAGGAAATTGTGGAAATAATTCACTTATATGCGTAATAATTGCTGGCGAAGAGACTCAATAACGTTAAATACTATAATACTATTACAGTATTTCAAATGAGGAGTTCCTAATATAAGTGGCTATTACCATTTAACGAGCTAGTCGCCTAAGAAATAAACTAAACTACAAAGATTATGAACTATTCTTGATAATATATATGCAATTGGCTCCATATTTGTGCTATAATTCGATACCGTAATGAAGAATTTGCGATCTTACGGACAGCATAGAATCAATTTTATTCACCTCATTTACTTACAGTATATCAAAAATGATGTTTCTAATCTGCTAGCTCTATTATTTTAGGGCAATTGTTCACTTAAATCTCATTAAAATTTACACCTGCCTATCTTAATATTGAATAAGCTTTATTGTGACTACAAAAATTTAATTAGTATTGGATTTAATTTGCTAAAGTAGAGATAGCTAAAGTTTTTCGTGAAGGAAATATAATAAAATTCAATATTTACTTGAGTTAACTCCAGTAACATTAATATGACTGTATCAATATACTAGACCCTACTTTAATATAATTCTTAGTTTGAGAAATTATATTCTTTCACACCATGGTGAAAATTTATACAGAATGACGTCGGATACAGGAAATATTTTATTTTTGAGCTAGGAAAGCTAATAAACTATCCCTACATATTTTGGTGGTAGTACGATCTAAAGTACTTGCATGATGAATAATATTTCATTTAAAAACGAAAATTTGGTCTAGGAAATCTAAGAATGTTGCGGTATATTGTAGTGTCTCGCTATTTTTCCGCTTTAATATTGCAAAATTATTATTTTATTTATATATTGTTTTCATTTGTTACCTTAAAATGTTTTTTGGTATTGATTATAAAGCTTATATTTTGCTCCTTAATAATTTAGCGGTTGCGGTCTAGGGTATTGCCTTGGCTGATTGCTATTATTAAATTTAATTAAATGAAATTTAAGCATACAATAGTGTCGCGGTTATTATTTTACACTATTGTTGCCAAATTATCGTTCTATTGATGCAATATTTCTTGTGATTTCTTCGTTATAAAAAGAGATTTTGGCTTTGGGCTATCAAGGGCGTAAAAGCTACTTTGAGCTCTTTTGATGGCGGTATAGTTTTCGATGTTGCCATGTAGGATAGATATTATTATTTATTAGGTAAGGAGAATATTTTAATGAAAATTAAAGCATGTCATAGCATAACTGTCTTCATTTTAAGCCTTAACATTATTGTAAAATTATCATCAACTTCTACGCTATACTTTTAGTTGCGTAGTCTTAAAAGCTATTACAATAAACTTGTCGCGATATTGTTTTAGTTAGGAAAAGAGTATACGTTTATCAGTACGTAATTTTATTGTAGCTTAGTTGATGGTAATGTTTAATATTTCTTTGGAAGGGTAAAGATAAACAAAGTAAGAGACGGCTCTAATTTTTAAAGCCTAGCTAAATAATTATATAACAATTTAATAATACTTTTGTATAGAGGTAAAATTGAACAATGCTAAAATTACACATGGTATATAAGGCATCAAGAAGCTCTCTCAGGCTATTGAGAAATTAATGATCTTTAACAAATAATGGTTCAATTTTGAGGTGATCACATAATAAATCTTTCACTCGATCGATATCTATAAGAGAATATCGAGAATAAATCATTAAAACAATTTGTTATTTATTGTTAAATTATTACCAAATCAATCATTTATGAAAAATCTGTATTAATGAATATTAATATGTCCACGAATACTTCTCATATGTATTATCTTCTCCATTCTATACTGGTTAAGAATTACAAAAGGTAACGATATGAGTCTTGGAAAATATTCTCATTAATGACATTATAGAACTAGAATGGATACTTTTATTGCTATCCCAAATTTTGATCAAGGGATTGATCATGAGGAAAGCCAATGAATTTTTTACACATAAAATGCCTCAAAATAATTTACTCGATAGTAGATTTAGTAATGAATTTAATTTTTCAATGGTATTTATAACTGCTTCTAGACTTACCGATTGTTAAATGACAAATAAATCATGCAAAATAAATTAACTCTGATGTACAGAATAAGATGCTTTCAATCATTCTACATGTTGATGATTTATGTTCAGAAATTTCTTTGGCAACTTTGTTCAATATTTTTTGACCTTATTCTTACCTGCCCTAATACTTGCTTAATAGAATGAGCTACTAGTATTGCTGTACTGTATGTATTAAAGTTCAAGCAATCTGATCCTATTGATGCTATTTAATTGCTGATTGATGATTGTTTGCAATTTTTTTCTCACGTTCCTTTAATACTCAGATGGCAAATTCCCATTTAAAGTTTATAAATACCAGAACAAACTATCTTGAAGTTGACATTCTTCTTAGAAATTATTCCCCTCTATCGGATATAATCTCATACCAGTTAATATAGGAGGTAACTTTTAGAAATGGTGATAAAATTTCTGAATTCCTTAATTGATATTATTTAATTAACATACTGTACAAAATTATGAAAAGATAGTTAATAGTAATTCTCGTTTCATATTCATGTTAGGATGACAAATACCGGACAAATTTCACTTCTATCGATCATATTATTATGTGTCGCTTGCAAAGTAGGATCCAATATGCTTGATACAGTTGAGCAGGATATAGACGACATGACGGAGAATATAATATCACAGCTTCGTCTTCTTTCCAAGCTTCAAGAAGGCATTGCTGTTAATAGGAATAGCAATAGACAAAGAGCCGTAAAATCTGATCAAATATCTACAGACCAGGATATCAATATGATAGATGAATTACTCGATCTTCAATATTACATGAACAAACGTAAATCGGACCAAAAGGAGCTACCTATGTCAAGATTGCACATACTACAAGAGCTTATAAGTAAACTTGAGCTTGGTGCGCGGGTTCGTCATGATTCTAAACGAAGATCATCCGTCCCATGCGAGTATGTTCAAAATAATAAAGGGCGCGAAGGAGTTCGGAGAGCTAATTCCAAACGAAAACCAATCGTTCCACGCAAATTTGTTCAGCACGATAAAGAATACGAAATATTTCGTAGTTTTAAACAGAAGTCACCCATTCCAGTTAAATCTAAATTGCTTGATGACCCTAAAGAACCCAAAGGAGTTAATAAAGAAGGTGGACCATCGAAGCCACTTCCGATTTCTAAAAAACTGATTCAAAATAAATTTACTGCTGATAGTGAAGAATATAAAAGAGTTCGTAAAGAAGGTGGAAGTAAGCAAACTCCCCTGACTTTAAATAAATTAATTGAAGACCAGGAAGAACCCGAAAGAATTCGTAAAGAAAGTAGATCTGCGAAACTACTACCTGTATCAAATAAATTAATGGAGGACCCCGAAGAACCCAAAAGAATTCGTAAAGATAGTAGAACTACTCTACGAATTTCGAGTAAATTGATTGAAGATGATGGGAGTGTATGGAAGAGCAAGTAGATCTACCGGGGGTAAGAAAGAGCCTCCGACCTCGAATAGATTGGCTTTAGATAGTAAATATGGGAGAGCTCGTAGAGAAACTGGAGGTAAGTAAACGCTCCCGGTTTCAAATAAATTAACGGAGGACTCTAAAGAACCCTAAAGAGTTCGTAAACAAAGTAGATCTGCGAAACTACTACACCCTATTTTAAATAAATTGGGTCAAGATAACAAGGTGTATGGAAGAGCACTTCGATCTGCTGGGAGTAAGCAAATGCCACGATCGCCCAGAAATCAATATACTCTTGATAATAAGGAATATAAAAGATTTCGTAGAGAATATGATAGTTAGCTACCACCGCCGGTTTCTTATTAATTAAAGACCCCAAAGAGCGCAAAAAAGTTGGTAAATGTAGTGAATAATGTTATTAAAAGCGATAGATGTAATTCATGCGTACTAGTTGTGGTAGAACTCATTGCGATACTGTGTATTCGTTATATTTACTTGTATTTATGTATAATTAAAACGTAGTGCTACTGTCCTCTTTAGATATAGCATTGCAGCCTAACATGACATTATATAGATTAACATGTGCTTGCATATAGCGTCTATATTTAAGGCATGTACTTAACATATGGCCATGATTTGCATAACACTTTCAGCTTAACTAGTTTAATAAAGTTGTGCCCGTACATAAAAGCAAACAAAGTGGATCTAGGAAATCTTTATTATAGTATCTTAAGCTCGCTACAGTATTTGCTGGAATACTTTCCATTCTCTTACTCGTATGTACAGCGGATATTAGAAATCAGTTATCCCTCTAGTTCTATTCTGAATATACTCTTCTTCCCTGATAATTTGTGTGATCATTTGTTTGCTACACCATCGATGGCCACTTAACTACCACCTCCATGCACGGAGGTACCTACTGAAGTAGATAGCGATACGTCAGGGCTAGTAACCCTGACGGCGACTACATCACAACGATAGCTTTCCGAATAAATTGATTCAAAGCGTTAAAGAATATGAAAAAAAGTTCAAAGAAGTGATGAAAGCCAAGGCGAAGCCTTTTATTAATTACAGTATCATTTTATTCGTAAATTGATAATATAGGCTATTCCATTGCAGCAGCGTGACGATTTATCTTTTGCTTGTTGGCTTCACTTTCTTAATTATTACCGCATGTGGATGCAAAAATATTTATTAGTATTGGTGCTGTAGTTCTAGTAGTTGTAGAAGATCAATTACAGGCGTTTTATTACATGCCGATATCTCTTCCTTGAGATCGATTACCAGAGTTACCTCAATTAAATTAAAGTATTTATTAACGATTAATTCATTGAAAGATAATAGCAATAAGGTTATAAAGATTCCATGCTTATTATAATGCCACGAGAATTTTAAATTTGCGCTGTGCTTGAGCATTAACCTGTACTCTACTATAAATCAGATTGAATACAAATTTATAGTAATAAATCCACCCGTCTTGTATCCATCGTCCATCCATTGGAGTTATTTTAATTTTGTTGATCAAGCATTGGGATAATATTTCTCAATTTCATCAATATCTATTGAATCTACCGTCATTAAACTACAGTATCTGATCGTTATGACGACAATGAATCTGAAGAATTCGCTTGCCACATGAAACTCACTGTCTACCAAGACTACTGCAGTATCATTCGAATAACTGTGTGATCTACTGAGAGTTATTACGTGCCAGAATATGACTTTAATATGTAACATATATAGTTATGAGTTAAGCCATAACAGGTTTCCGTTATCAACTACATCGCATCATGACGTCGAGGTGGTACCGTGTTATAGTCCATTGCAAATTCGGATGAATGGATTCAATGGTGAAATTCTCTGCTCAGCGTTCATTACTATGCGATGACTTGCAACAGAATATGATTAGTTTCATTTTTAAATAAGTAAATGAGATATTTTACTTCAATTGTACTATCCAACGGGGGGGGGGTGATTGAAATATTAAGCCAAAAAAATAAGAAGGATAATCAAGAAGAAAGTGTTGCAATTTTTCTATCTAGAATCCATTTCGCTCTTCTCTATGCAGTGAAGCGTTTAAAGTAAGAAGTGAATGGCCATAGGTAACATATTTTCAGGAAGGAAGCATAAAGATCAAGATTGTACTGATTGCGGTATCTAACTCTCTATACCAAAAGGTTACACAGTACAAAATGTCGAGCTGATGCAGAGTTAAGCGACTATTTATTCTGAAGAGAAATTGTTTTCTGTTCAGAATCAATTTTTAGGATTTGCTATCTACAGTATTATGATATCTATAGTACAGTTCTGGACGGACAGACACCTGGCCTACTTTGGTCAATCAATTGTGTTCAACACTTATTATGACAGTACTTTAGTATGCAGACAGTCGATTGTGAATGGACTAATTTTTTCTCGATTTTAAGTAATATTCCATTGCATTCCATTGCCTGTTACTCAATTCTGCTTAGAAGCAGTCAATTTAGATCATGAATGTTATCCAAATGAATACGAGTGATTTTCGAAAATAGATACGCTAAGTCACTATTTTTCCCCATTTTCTGCCTTATCTGGTATGGAAAGTCCGTCCACCCGAGGGGAGTTACAGTACTGTACTGTACACCACAGTATTTACAGTACAGTACCTTACATCTACAGTACAGTACAGAACAGTACAGTACCTTACATCTACAGTACAGTACAGTACAGTACAAATTGTAGGGTGACATTATTTTTGCAACAGACTCTATAGTATAAAGTATTTTTTGCATTTGTATTAACGTCCAGTACAGTACAGTATTTACACTACCTTACATCTACAGTACAGTACAAACTGCACGGTGACATTATTTTTACAACAGACTCTACAGTATAAAGTATTTTTTTGCATTTGTATTGACGTGCAATAAGTACAGTACAGTACAGTACAAATTGCAGGGTGACATTATTTTTGCAATAAACTCGACAGTATAAAGTATTTTTTGCATTTGTATTGATGTGCAGTACAGTACTGTACATCTAGAGTACAGTACAAATTCTAGGGTGACATTATTTTTGCAATAAACTCGACAGTATAAAGTATTTTTTGCATTTGTATTGATGTGCAGTACAGTACTGTACATCTAGAGTACAGTACAAATTGTAGGGTGACATTATTTTTGCAATAAACTCTACAGTATAAAGTATTTTTTGCATTTGTATTAACGTGCAGTACAGTACCGTACTGGAGTCTGAGACTCAGTACGGTACAGTACAGTATTTACAGTACCTTACATCGACAGTACAGTACAAACTGAAGGGTGACATTATTTTTGCAATAGACTCTACAGTATAAAGTAGTTTTTGCATTTGTATTAACGTCGAGTACAGTACTGGACGTGACAGTGTACAGTACAATGCACTGCATGTTGAATAATAGTCACTTGGTCAATTGGCAAGTTGCAGATGCAGAAAACTACCTATGGAAGGGCAGGTCGGGTTCCAACACCCAGCGAATCCGCTGTCAGAAATTCGTGAGAGATTATTTTATGCGCTGTTTTTTCGACTATCAATCTCGTATGCAAGATATGTTCCAGCAAAATTCAGGAAATTTCTTGAGCTGTTTGTGTTAATGAAGGTTTGTATGGTTCAATATTGTAACCAATTCGTTTTCCAAAGTGCTACCTTTGCTCCATGATACTGATGATAAATAATAATATACTGTACTGTCTATATGGATTGTTGTGCATCAAACTGTCGCTGTTACGGTACCTGTACGATACGTGGTGTTGATATACTCTAGTATCAATTTACAGTCGGTAGATACTTTGGTAGTACGGGATGCTACAACAAGCTTGGTATCCTGATCGTCATCCATAAATGAATGTCAGAGATGAAATGGAGTTTGTTATGAGTTATCAAGCTGTTCAAAATTGGAATTGGGATCGACTTCATTATCCACATCGATAGATTGCAATGGATAAGCAAATACATTAGCCTCATCATGACTACCACGATGACCCGTGAAAAACTACGATACATAGAGCTCGTAGACAACGTCGATAGTACTACGTTAGATTGATACTGATGTTGAACTCCACTCCTCGTTATGCAGTTGTTCACCTGGGACTAGCCAGTTGTTATACTACTGTACCAGGATATCCCAACTCCTCTCTTATTACATTATATCTAGTAAAAGTTATACAACATGCCCCAATTTTCTACTCTTTAATCGAATCTGAAAAGTTTTCTCAATCCAAATTAGCCAAAAGCTCAGTCAATAGCTACAGTGTATCCATTTTTGATGATTACTACTACTACGGCCAATGACTAGTCGAATAACTGGCGGTATATATGATATGTATTCCATGTCAAAAGCTTTACTGGACTATTAGCTATGATACAGTGCCAATCTTGAGAGTATAGTTTCAATGACTATTTTACTGTATTTTCTTTCGACTAAATAGAATGATCAATTGGCATTCTTAAGATTAAATTCTTCCTAAACCTTCTCAGTATTGAGTTGATGGTATTGAAATGTACAAACATACGCGTACAGTATATGGATAAAGCTTAACAACAGTACCTACAGCATTACCACTAATTTTGATCCTATATAACGTCAAACAGATTAATAGAATTTTCTTGTAGGTCATGTAATACTGGATGCATTATTGTAAGAGTAAAACCTACAGTACCAATGGGTAATATCAGCAATGGAAAACTGTCCTATTTGATATCGAGTTGACAATCACTATGGCTATGGTACTACCATACGGTTTGTAAACTTTTGGATTGAAAATCAACTTTTGTCGTAATTAGAGAGTCGCCGGTAATACTACCACATAATAACCCCTAAAAGAGATAAATTAATGTTTATTAAGCTTGACTTGGAAAGGCACATCGTTAATCTGTTTTCCATTTCTAGTAATTTTGAAATTTAAACCAGTTCGTAGTTTGGACTGTTTGGATTAGTTTGCATTATTTTCATACATCATCCATGACAGTAGGACTGTTTGATGTTGGATCAACTTGTTCTATTGCTTGATTGAGTATCAACTGTGCCAACAGTAGACTAGTCATTCGACAGTACAGGATATACAGTCCCAATGTATAGTACCGGTACAAGTCCTATACAGACGCACGGACAGCTGCTATTCATAATAATATTCATAACATAGTACTGGATGCTGCTAGGATGATATTAGTCAGGTCTAGATATTAATTGTACCTGCTGCATTTTTGCTCCACTTTTGTACATGATAGTTAATCTGACATTCACAATTGGGATAAAATAGAGCCAATACTGTTCTCTCTAATGTTGTTCGTCATGATTACTGCGTCCTAGTTACTATTTATTCATTTATGAATTTATGTCTGTTGACGAGGTAATAAAAATTCAGAACATCACTTTTCCTCACACAGTCAAGTATGGGCTGCAGACTAATCTTAAGGATCACACACTAGACAGTATGATTATAATTAGATGAGTATACAATTGCAATAGTATAGTAGCATGAATACAAATAAATTATATAGTCTAGCAAAAAGTGGTAAAATCGTCTAAGAGTTGAATGCAAAACGAGTAAAATGCAAATCTTATGAAGGGGCGAAATAAATAGCAGTATCTGATATCCATTGTGGATCTCAATAGATAATGAAGATAAGCTTCTACTATGGTACTCTCCTTATGGCTGCTCTGGAACAACGATACCCAAAATTCCAAATACTCCTACGCCATTTTGGGACAATCTTATACCACTGTTTAATACTATATCTGTAACTCTTTAGTCGAAAGCAAAGCTTTTAATTTATCAGTGAGTTAGGCAAGCAGACGTACGATGTAGACTAGTGAATTATCGCGACAATAAGTGTGATTAATGACGACTTTTGCACTATTTATATAGAACGATTGAAATTTTGGAGGTAACGTACGTATAGGATAGCGTAAAATCTTTGTTAATGGTTATATGATATTGAAACTCCAATAATAATGATATTATTCGTCACAAACTAAAATTAAGATAAACTTCTGTTCGTAATCATTCGTTGGTTATACTATGCATTCTACTTTTTCCTATTAATGCAATTGATGCTCGATATTGATATGGATAATTTTACGTTATCTTGTTAGGCTATCTTTGTCTTATTTGTTTTGATCTACGTACACGTTGCCTTTTCGAGTAAATCGATGGAATGCTTAGGCGATTTACAAAACTCTTGGGCTAAAGATGGAATTTTGCGAGTCGAATTGTCCATAGATAATCGTACACATCAAGAGTTGCTCGATCCCAACACATTTCATCCAAATAAAACATTGGATATTCTGCACTCGAATAAGTTATTACCTTCATCTTTGGCATATTTTGGACCGATGAGAAAGCATGACATGTATAAATACATCCTGGATACTGAATTAAAGAATAATATAACTGGTGCGTTATTGTAGTCTGTTATGTCAGTGTAATCGAAAGTGTACTTTATTTTAACGCAGTTGATGCATTAAAATTACACTATTAAACACTTTATTAACTGAAGCTGGTATGCGGTAGGAGGGCTTATAACTGAACTAGTGCAACCGCCTTCGCGTTACATTATAGTTTGCGTCAATATTAAAGTGCTATTATTTTCACTTTTTTTAGAACAAAATTTTACTTCAGTTATGGAATACGCATTGGAATATGGCTTTCTTAAATTATCTAATGAAACACGCCGTCGATACAATATTACCGTCACAACCCTGAGTTTAAGTATGTTTATGAGAATAGAATAGAATTTCGTTGTAATTCATCTCGCGTACAATTGATGTTTCAATCAATTTTATTTATGTATGTCGGTAATAATCTATTACATCTTTGCATCATCATTTGTAGTGGGTATTAGCAATTCTGTTTTAGTTTTTACTAATTTTTATCAATCAATCAATATAGTAATTGTAAGAAATGCATATCACCTGATATATGATTAATTTTTCTGTAAACGTATGAAATATTGAAGCCATACTAATAATTCGATATTGTAATAAATTGCATAGATAATACTCACCCTTGTTTTGGTAAGAATATAGTGGAAAGACTTATGGTGGAAGAATTTCTAGGGTACGATGACATTTTAATGTCCAGTTTTAAAAGCTTAGCGGAAGAACATGGAAATAAAGGTTATTAATCAGTTATATTCGTATGCGTATCTTTAAATGATCTTTAAATGATCTTTAAATGATATGACATCTGTTATTATTATATTCGCATTTTATATAGTTCATTTATTAAACATTGATTGTTGTCCCACTTTATTCTTCAAAAGAGATAATAGACAAGTTGAATGTCTTACGTTTAGTTTTTACTCCATTATTAAGGTTATCTGCATAATTTAAAAAGTGGGGAACACTTCCGATTTATTAGTGTATGGATGGCAAGAAGTTCCTATTTGGTTTCGTTGCTTTTAATGTTAACATTTGTAAGCCTGTTTAATTTGTACAGTTGATTTACTCACAATTATATATATAATAATGCCATACTTATGCGACAACTGCGTTATTGACCAATTGATGTTTTCTGAAATTTTAATTTTTAGACTATGTCCATTGCTATGCTGTTAAGATTTTCTCATCATTTTATCTTCTTATTTATCGGTAAAAATTGATTGATACTCCTTACAGTAATATTTTATTAGTGCAATGACCATGTATGTGGATGCTTAAACTAAATGTACTGTTGTATTACGGTACGCTTTTACTATTTCTAATTTATACGAAAAATTGGGCTTTTCAACAGTGCAATTGCTCCAAGTTATGGAATTAAATTCGTTTGTCGTGCTACCAGTTGCACCTTTGTTGACAGTCATCCTTGCTTTAGTTGGTTAGTAACGTTGCTCTTCATTTTACTTATTATTGTGTATATTATTGAGATGGAAAGTTTTAACTAAAACTTAATTGTTATTGCATTTTACAATAGGTGTTGAAGCTATTATGTCGGAGTTTTTTCACGATGCTGTCACTAGCTTTTATGTGATTCTGATCGTTTGGGTAGCAGACCAGTATGATGCACTATTCTCTCATACTAGAACAACTCGAAAATTTTGGCTTCGGTAATCCAATATAATTTCCTGTAGCACAAATGAAGGAAAATTGCTTAGAGACAGCTTAGTTTATTCGCAATGTAGAATCAAGTAATTGCTTTTATGAAGGAATTTACTGTACCTTTTCTTGCTATTAAACTTATGGTATAAAGAAACTATAAATGTCACGAGCGTTAATGCTGTATTTGTTTATCATAGATTTTTCTACGTCTACCTTTACCTGTTTTACGCTTATCATTATCGATTTAATGGGCAGTATAGCGGTCTCGCTTTGCTTTCATCGTGGCTTTTCATACAGGTTAGGTGATCAACGCGTAGATGTAAACGTTGAAGTATATGTTCATCATTTGTAGATAAAAACTGCTTTACTAGTCATTGAACTCGTTTAACTAGAGGTATTAAATCTTATCCAATGTTTGCAGCATTCCATGATCTACTTTTTCCATCATTATGAGTTACCTGCTGTTATTCTGCAAGTACGTATTATGGCTGAAGTGCCAGGAAATGTCCACGGCAATCTCGCTTTGTTAGACCGATTAGGTACACTTAACACTATGAATGACATGCGAAATGCAAATGAAGGCTCAACTACTGAGCGATCGTCAACACATGGGCAGAGATAGTATTGTTTGTATTGCCAATGCTATCAACAACAGCATTTGTTGTTAATTACTTTATTATCAGAAGATTCGAAATTGTCATGTACTATATAATCTATAATTTCTTCACTATCTATCTATAACACCGGAGGATGGTTCCTATTATAATTATACTCTTAGAGAATTTTCACAGTTTTTGCTTCGCTTTTTATGGAAGTATACTATTTTAAGTATTAATTTAAAATTTGTTGTAGGGTAAACTGTTGCATTTATTTGCATTTCGGTGAATTTATTGCCGTGTATTAATACAATATTCTACAAAACGAGAAAGCGAAATTTAACTGTAAATAATAGTGAGACTGGATAATGCTTTAACATTACGCAGTAAGATATTGTATAAATACAATATAATCAAATATTTTAGAAACGAATTGTAAAAGTTAATATTAATGTTCTCATCATGTATATGGCACTATAATTAATTACAATATTGCCATGTGAGAATAATATTGTAAAGAATGTATCAGCAATCAGAGATGCTATATGGGGATGTACAGTAACATCACAGAAAAATGGTGAATATTTTATAACACTGTACAGTAAAACTGTATGTTTAATCATCACGTACGGTAATTCATAGATGCTAAAACAGCTACTCTCACACTTAATATAAGTGAATAAAGTAAACATCTTTGCTACAAAGTTTGATCTTGATTGGTGTTGGAGAATGCATTACGAAATCAATTTTCGGGTAATAATAAAAATTATATAGTACATCAGCAGTATTATGATATATACTGTCATAATCTTAGATTGAAATACAAAGTACGGTTTTAAGAGGTTATGAATCGCTGGAGCTATCAGTAGACATCATGCCAATATTATTATTAATTCCTTGGTCATTTTCAAGGTTTTCTACTTCGTTATCACTTTCGCTCGGTTGATCGCTTAAATTTTCCTATACCATTTGAGTTGTAGATATTGATCCGGTTAGATTTACCGGTAAAAAAATTGTAATCTACATTATTTATCGACTAATTTTGAGAATTAATTATCTCCTGGGAATATAATAAAATTAAAGAGTATTGCACGAATAACAATTAAGATACTGACAGTGATGTATAGTATGCTATATAGGAAAGCAAATGTACGTTGCTTACATTTTGCTTATTGCTATCGTCTACGGCTTCACTATTTTTATTACTGTTTGAAATGCCTAAAAATAAGTAAATAAAAGGTTGTATACTTAATAGTCAAAAGACAGCATCATACCCAGAAATATAATTTGATAAATCAAGGAAATATTCAAAGTTTTGTCAATATACCGTAATCTACATCAATAGCATTATCGCCATTAACATTGTATTCAGTAAGCTTTCCCAAAATTCCTGCTCTCATCTCGATATCAATTGGGTACGGACGTCTTGAATCTCCTGGTAGATTTTATTTTAGGTATGAAAAATTATTTAAACAATAGGTAATTTCAAAACTTGGTATCACAATTCTGCTTCGTATTACCTTGTTGCCAATTTGTTGGGGCGCAAACGGCGTGATTACTACTAATTTCATATGCATACTTGATTAAATCTTCGGAATTTACGGAGCCTGTAATGTTGTATTAGTAATTAATATCACTTGTGTTACAAGAAAGTACAAATTTTTACGAAGAATTAGTTTTTAACGTACGACTCTCTTCACAAGGTAAGACTTCTTTTGCGTTTTCTATAGCGGACATCTGATATAATAGAATGTTATAGGAATCTCCACGTTAAATTTAAAAAAATCAACATTATCGCTCTAAAATAATGTGTAACGGTTAATGAGCTACTACGTTTCTTTCATAATAACAAGATTACAAATTCGTACCAGACTACTTTCTGCTTGCTTTAATTTGTCCATAAGTTGAACAATAACGCGATCTTGTTGAACTACGGCTTCGTTGCATTTTCTAATTTTATTATACACTTCAATTTTACCTTGAGCTAAAGGATTATTGAATAATTAATATCTTAGCAATTACTGATATAGATGGTTAACAATTTGTGTTCTCTTACTAATTTAGCATACGAGTTAGTTCTTGTAATATAACCTATACCATATAATAATGTAAAATAAACTACAGTGGGTAATTATTCGTAGCATATGCAGTCACTGAATTACGAGATATAGATACATGGCTTTAGTTCTGATATAAATAGAAATTGACATCCCAAATGCTCCTTCCTTTCTATAAGTATATGATTATTAAATATTTGTCAGCCGCTTCTACAGTACTGTAGACTATATCAAGTCGATGCCAGATAATGGAAAAGTAAATAAAGATTTTTCAACTATTCTAAGCTTAGATATAGGTTGAGAAGCTCTTTGTAGCAATGTACACTATGATTAAGTTAAGTTAACTCATTGATTGCTTTTATGTTTGAGTAGTGATCTGCTGCAATACGATCTACTAGACATTCAATAATTCTACATTATTCTACAGTATATATATTATATACATTCTAATCTGTGTAGATAAACTAGAATAAGCGTAAATTGCAGAACGACTGGCAGTATCGTCTGTTTGTACTTGCCACGGCCTTTGGTGTTTCTAAGAGAGCAATCCAATCAGCTTATACTATTACTATCTAACAATACCAATAGTAGATTGCAATCTCGACAGTTCTACCGTAGTACTTGCAGACTGGAATACGCATCAAGTGCAAAACGAATCTATGAAATCACTTTAAGATTTCTGATGCGTTGTATCGTAGTTAGCAAGGTGTTTAAAGCACATACATGCATATTAACTCGTCCTATATACAATTTAGATAGTGGTTCCTGTAAACAGTGTAATAATAAAATTGTGGAATTCTATATCCATGAAATCCATTGAAAAGAGACTGGAAAACTCACCATCAACGAGCGCTTTCCTGAATTCCTCATCTTTGTTGGCAATTAAGTCAATTTCCTTCAATTTAATGCAACGGAATTGACGGTTAACATAGTACATATATATATAAAGAGAGAATATTTCATGAATTCAGCTAGTAATAATCTATCGTGCAAGCTTGTAGTCGATTAGTATCGATGAAATGAATCATAACAGCGTACTATAGAGTTATTGCTTATTACGGATGATATCGCCAATTTCTTTTACTAAAGAAATCTTTATCGAATGATTGATTCAAATTGACACCATTGTTAACAATTACATACCTTGCTAGCATTACTGGTATCTCTGATATTGACATTGACCTTTCTTAAGGTTTCCCTATAGATCGGAGCATTATCAATAAGTTTGTGATTGGAAATTGCAATTTCAGCCTACTGTATTTTATTTTTCCACCGTAGTAAACTAATTATAATTGCGCTGACTGTAGCAAACTTGACTGTGGAATACTGTGTCTTGTTCAATGCTATTCTACGATGAAAAGGTTTACAGGAGTAAAGATGGATGAAGACATTAGAAAAATTATCATCGAAAAACCTGGTTAAATTTTCAATTTGATCCAATATCGATAGGAGTGGATTGTCGGCCATTCTTCAAGCAGTTTTGACCAATTTTGGCTCGACTACTCGTTGCCTTGGAATCTAGCCGCAGTTCTCGTTCGGCTTTCGTTTCCTTTTAACGGATTGGAGGTGAAAGCTTATGAGAATGGTAGAGCAGTACGGGACGGTACAGTACAGTACAGTGTACTGTACACTGTACACTGTACACTCAGTGTACAGCAGCTTTAGTCTTGTAAGGGAAAAGGTCTTATTCGTAGGTGGCGTATGCTAGTGACATCATTTCTGCTAACGATTCATTGAGAAGGCTAGTTAGTCTGCAGCATGCAATCAGATCTAGAGAACTATTTTTCTTCTTTTTCCTATTGGAGGTCGTTATGATTGAAAAATTTTGTATGAACAGTGAGAAAGAATACTTGACTGTGCTAATAATAATATACTGTACAGTATATAGGCGATTATATCTATACCCTTATATCGATAATTATGTACTGTACTGTTAATGCGAGAGACTTGTGCAAAGGATGGTAAGCGCAGCCAAGAAGTTTAGGTCTTAAGATGTGTCCAGCGGATTTATTTCCAGCACTAGCTGATTCATCATAAAGGCACGTAATGGCCAGCCCTGCGCCGTGTCTGTATTATTTTTAGATGGATCACTTTCTAACAATATCTTTTTATCATAAAAGTGGCGTTCTTATTACTTTATACTTGCATACTGCTGTATTTTGGAAGAGACTGATCCTTTTTGTACTGCAGAACAATTTCATTTTTTTGTTAAAAGTCACAAAACACTACCATGTGGATTGAAAAAAAAAACAAGATTTATTATATAATTATAATCGTTGTCTAAAATAGCTGGTCGCCCAATCTTGTGAATAAACATGCATAATATACTGTACAGTATATAAGATATATCATAGATATTACTGAAACATACGCAGTAAAGAAGGACGCAAAGTATCACGGGCCCAAATTTCGACTAATAATTATATTTATTTCTTTTTTAAGTATTACATAATGTATGATTGGCTTTATAAATAAATATCTATGTACGTAAATATAAATTCTAGAATTGGTTGGACAATCGATAACCTTGGGGATGGCGACCATTTCTAATATACCAGTAGACAAATCACTAGCAAAAATAATGTCACTATAGCATGACAGAAGTACTGCTTACGATCTACTGTCCATACTGTCTTTGCTCTATTACTGTATACAACCATACGCGTATATGGTACTGTACTACGCGAATCCACACTACAGTATAGTGTCTCTAGTGAAAGCGACAACTGCAGTAAAATGCACTCACTGTCAGGCATCCATAGCTCGTCGTATCGGCTGCTCCGACTCCGTTTCGCCACTCTGACAACATCCATCCCATCGGACAATTTAATTAATTATTTATAATTTGCAGGCCCCAACTTTTAAATAAGACAACGGGCGGGAAACAACTTTAATACCCTTTCCATCCATAGCGTTATTCAGATACAGTCTTATCATTAACATTAATATAAAAATATTGGCATTAAGTGAACGCAAAAGACCGGTAGATCCTTCTACTGACACCTTGCCACGGAAGAAGTTGAATGGTATTAGGACTATTGGTCTTCCTGCCTTCTTCCGACGCCCATGTTACAAGGAAGGTAGTATTCATCCATCGATTTGATATACCATACAAGCAATTCAGTATATAGAGCAACGATGGATTTACTACCTGAAGAAATACTCTTACATATTTTCTCCTATGTTGAGTGTAAAACATTAATTTCAACGGTTAAAATACTTTGTAAGCGATTTTATGAACTATTATCAGTGGAAAACAATTGGAAATTTCTCTTTCCTGAAATCGGATCCAATCATGAATATTACGATATCGACGATTATGGAAGAGATAAAGTGATCTACTACAAGTGTACAGATAGAAAATTTTGGAGAGGTATAGATCAACCTATTTCAATTGATTACTTGCGTGGCTCTATTGGTGCAGTCGATGTCGTTCGAATTTTCGATCATGGTCAATATTGTCTTTCTGGCTCTCGAGATAAGTCAGTCAATATCTGGTCATTAGATCAACAGTTACGTGGAGATCCTTCTAAATATCATATAGGCTCGCTTGATGGTCATAATGTAAGTAGAATTGATACAAAACTCTAATCTTTTTCTTCTTTAAAGCATCAATTCAAATCTCGTTCATCTTGCGTTAATGTCCTTTACTATTCCATTACTCAAACAGGGGTGGGTATGGACACTTGAAGAATGCAACAACACTGTTTATTCCGGCTCTTGGGATCATAATGTTATGATTTGGGATTTAAATGCTAATGGAAAATTACTCGATACTATTAGGTATTACTTGTCTTGATCAACGTCGAAATAATAAATAAATATCTTTTTACACCTGTCAACAAGCTAAGGATGTTATAATTTACTATTTTACTGTATGTATTCGTATATCACATCAGATCATGAGTTGACATGATCAACACTCTAATTTTCTCTTTCTAATCAATTTAACGATATCCCTTCATAGAGATGTTCATCCAGCAGCTGTCTTGCGCTTACAAGTTAAGGATAATGTCTTATACACTGGCTGTCATGATTCAGCTGTTCGAATGTTTGACTTGCGAGGTCATTTTGATTTGATTTTGTTTAACATTGATTATATTAAATTCATTTTAAGTAATGCTTTATTTTTAACAAATTGGAATTGCCTACATAAACAGTTGATTATCGAAATACCAGTCATGAATTGTATCGACATAGAAGAGCAGCCTTATGTATGACCTTTTGTGATGACTACCTTATAACTGGTAGTGAAGATAAAACTGTGATCGTTTACGATACCAGAGCTAATGCTATCCTAAAGACACTAAAGGTAAATTTTTCTTTGTTTCTTCTAGGTTTGTTTTCACCTTGATATCAGCGTGCTTATCACATTCTACTGCACAACTTATCACGGAAGCTTCAATCTTTTTAGAAATAACGCACACGTTGCTTATTGAATGATTCCCCCGTATATCACATTTATATCTATTGTATTTTAATTATATAGTTGTACAGTATATCTAGTTCACTATTTACGTTGACCAGAAATATGCTGTGACGACGTCCTTACGTATTTGCATAATAAGTGTATTGGTATTAATATGTATATTTAGAAATCTTTAATTCTACTGTGATATCTTGTCATTAATAGACAACGTCTTCTGTCACTGCTCTTAACTGTGGCTACGATCAACTAAGAGTAGGAATACGAAATGATGTTCAAATCTATAGCACAAAAGACGGATTGTTTACGGAAATGGATGTAAAGATTATCTTTAATAATTAGGATTTTTTCTGTATTCAGATATCAATTACTAACAATCATTTTTGTTTCAGATTATACCTGAAGTTCATAGTAAAGGCATAATGGGAATACATCATGATCTTTCTTGCATGATTACATGCTCCATTGATGGTACTATAAAGGTAGGAACATTCACTAATGTATTCATTAGTTCTAAGTTTAAATAAGTAATCTAATTAATTATCAATTTATTGTACGTAATCTACGGTCTATATTACTGCAGGCATCGTTATGTGTTGTTTAGTTGCGTAGTTTTACAGCTGAGATTATTATGCATTGTCTTTTGACGAGTATCTTTATTCCGTATCGTAGGTCAGCGAAGCTTCAAAGTCACCAAAAGTAATTAAAGTTCTCGATCATCACAAGTCAGCAGTAGCAAGGGTAGGTAACTGTGATTAATGGAATTGTCTGACGTCATATACACGTATATAGTAGAGTACAGTTGCTATATATGGAGTGAAATTTTGCTAGCTTTATGCTGTTTCTAGTACTTTCATGCCATAATTACGAAGCGCACTCAATCTATAAGTAGTTTATAGTTATTTAGGTGATGTTACCTTTCGCATACTTTAATGTAAGTCATAGTTTTGGCATGCAGTTAGTTATTTAGGTCTTGATGTACGGTTGCACATTGTGGGCTTATGAAATTAATTGGTCATTCCTTGCTATTCTTTCTGTAGTCATTTATCGTTTTAACGTTATTACCTATAGATCGACTATCGTGATGGTATATTAGCTTCCGCTTCCAGCGACGCTACTGGTACAATCGGAATTATTCGAAGATACGGACCATAGAAAATACGAACACGAACAACCACTAAAACGCGCATTTTCTAAACTCAAATGAAGATTCAATTTCTAAAATATTACATTATCAGATATATCAAGTGTTAAGGCTGTAAATTTAGCGTGTTGACTGATGTGGAATTAAAATACATTTTTCTATACTCTACCAGCTTAGTAAAATGCTGTATAATATTCTTACTATTTGAGGTTATAGACTTTTCGATTTCTCACAATATCATGTCGGTATTCATAAAGATACATTTAAGCTATATTGAACACGTACAATATAATACCCAAAAAAGTAATTTAACGTCATTATAAAAGTTGATCAAAATAAAAGTTATGCAGATTTGTACTAATTAATATTACTAAGTACAAAGTCATATTTGATAAGGTATATGACTCAAATTTCGGCAGTATACAATGTAACAGTGAACAAGTTTCACCAAATATAACAATATAGACGAACGGATTAAAATTAGTAAAAAAGAAGCGTTAGCAATACTTAATCTTCAAAGGAAGTAAATAAATTCTTATATACCATAGTAAGTACAATAAATGGAATTCCATTGAGGCAATAGTTTATCAAAATTGTATTTACAAATTGAAATCATGCAAACACAATATTATAAAAAAGGATTGTATTGGCATCGGCACGGCAACCAAGAGTCGTTAAATGATCCTCTGTGCAGCAACCCGTTCTTTCAGCTCGGCAACGTACTTTTGTAATTGATTGGAATCAGTCAAAAATAAAACAAATATTCGTCGCTCAAAAGCAACATATTGATCAGCTTGTAAAACCTATTAACAGAGATGAAAAATATTAACTCTATAGAAAAATGGAAGATGATACTCTCTGATATTTTGTCAATACTACAAATTTTAATCCCTTACAATACATTATATACAGTACTATAGGACCCTAAGATCGAAATTTAATGATTTAGTTTAAAAGCCGGGTAATATCAATTTACCAACGTTGAATGAAAGATACGATATCACGTTAACAAGCTCTTCCAAAATCATTGATATTCTGAATTGTCGTATTTTTATATTTGACTATTCACTTTTCGATCAGTCGTGATAGCCTTTAGTGTGATTGCTAGATATAGCTTTATCTAACCTTTTTCTTTTTGTCAAAATCGGATATAATTTCTTTGAGAGTTTTTTCGAGAGACAATAATAATTCTTCAATTTCCGTTAAATTATCTAAGATTTGCTAGAATATCGTGACAATGTATTACATTTGTGAAGGGCTCTCTCGCATAGTACCCAATTCTTAGCATTGAAAGCAACTTTAGCAAGAGGCGGTCGATAATACATACCTTTGGTGATAGCTGCAAATTTTTAGTTGTGCGATTTCCAGAGAAAATCTTATCTTCCAGGCTAGTACAACTAAGTAGGCTAGTTAATATTATATAAAATAGTCTGAGTATTATTCCTTGCGAGAGCTACCGTTACAAATTCTTTACAATCTCGCATTTAACTGATAATAAGATTTCCAAAATAATTACGATAAAGTGAATAACTGTAAATTCATGCCTACCATCGTCGCAATTTTTCTTCGTTGTGAGATTCGAATGAAGTTAATGCAACACTAAAGGAAGAAACGAGGCGATTTAAATTGCCTACAGCATCAACAAGCGAAGCGTATGTGATGAAGGCGTTGGGCTCTTCCTGCTTGGTATTGGACGGATCTATATCACAAGATGACAAATTTAATTGGCTATACGAATGTAGAATTCGTTTACTTGCACTTGTAATTAGTTTTATTAATTTGGGATTGCTCATACTTAAGACATTATAGATTCTTGTAAAAAAGAGGTCCCTGTTATCGATGGTATTACGAGGGGATTTGATTGTGATTCCAGCTATGTTAGCTAAAAATTCCTGAATGTTAATGAGTTAAGCTTAATACTTGTATCATCGGTTACAAGGAATACATTTCATATTAAAGGTAGAAAGTGGATACAATTCTATCATTGGTGACTTTTGTATCTTCGTCAATCAATGTATGAACAGAAAGTAAGAGTCGATGGCAGTCACGGAGTTTTTTTGCTTCTATTTCCAATGCCATTGAAAGAAATTGCTCACATGAACGTAAAAACATTAATTTGTTTATCACCTGCAAATGGTTAATATTTAAGTTATAGATTACCATATACTCTTAAATACCAAAACCGTTAATAAAATCAAGCTATTGTGTAAACTAAACTACCTCATCTTGTTTGGAAGTGAAGTAGTTCTGACGCGCAATTTTGAGATCATAATCTCCTCGTAATATTGGAGTGTCGATTAAGCGAGCTTCCCGTTTTAGGGCATTGCTCAGGGATGTACTTTGTATGGTATTAATATCGTCACGAATCTGATGGAGGATCTCACTCTTTTCCTTTTCCAACTGCCTGTTATGTGCCAAATTAAATGAAACGATCGTGAATGAGTGAATTTTGTAACTGTTGGTTTTTATTGTTATCAATTTAGAATGCTAAGTCTTAGGAGCCTTACATTACCTTAGAAAGACTACATTTCGCTGAAGGAGGAACTCATGTGATCCAAGTTGTACTTTCGCAAAGTTGATAGCGCTTTGAATACCACTTAAGCGTGCCTTTGCCTTAATTTGTTGTAATTTGCTCAATGGATATCTGAAGTAGGTAACATCCATAATTTGAAGCGATGCATTTATTACAGGTTCCACGGTTCAAGAGATATAGAAAAGTTATTACCACATTGTTATTTAAAGATGTAAATACTGAAATGAATAGAATCTGGACAATATAGGCTTGACAGCATTTGATTCGAGTCATACTACGCAAAAGCGATTATAATAAGCGATCAATAAGAAACGTTTAATTGTATTGCATTGATGATTCTGGACACACATTTAAATTGCAATCAATGACTTACATTTGTTGTAATCTAGATAGCTCTTGACGCTCCTGGGAATACCGTTCTTCAGACTTTCCTAGATTTTGCCAATAAATAGTAATTTAAGATTATACCGTACTTTTAATTTAATATGTAAATTCTAGTGAGATTCATTTATTTCTTTTTTATTTTAATGTGCTAACCTCTTAATAATTCCTCCAATGGATTATTGATATCAAGTAACTGGTAATAGGATTCATTTTCAGGGCCAACAATCTCTGAAATACCCTAAAAATATACGCGAATTAGACAGATTTTTTATTATATGTTGAGCAAACAGAAAAGTTTAAGATTAGCTACGGATCACTAGAAGAAATTTGTAGTGATCCATGAGCTAATTAGCCCGTATAGAATCGTTCAAAATATATTCTATGCAATAACGGTTAAGAGTACTATAAAGGACACAATGTTTGATGTTGATGATAACCCACTTATACCTCGAAAAATTGCTTTTTGATAAAATTAGTTAGAGTCCTTAAAAATTTTTCAGTACTTGCATGATAATCAGATAAAGATTGCTGATAAAGGAATGGCGGATTATCTAGAAAAAGAGCCAAATTAATATTTATAATAACGAGTTACAAAGATATTCATGCCATGGTATTGATAAATACGCGTAGAAGCCTTCACGGCAGTATACAATCTACTTCTTATTTACTGGTTACTGCAAGCTTTAGTCTTACCTGCATCATATAACTGCGCTAGCGAACGAACGTTCTGCGTAATCATCTGTAGACTCTTATTTACCTACAAAAAATACACATACGCGTATAATGTAGATGCAAGGCTATTCATTTTTTACTGCTGATGAAATTAGTTTATGATAGCGGTATGTACTCGCTATTGTTAGATTGTAATCAAGAATTGAAGATCCATGGTAGTTGGTTTGACTTTGGATAGTAAGAAAATTATTTACTTTTTTATTTGCTTCCTCATTTTCTTGTGCTATGTTGTTATTTTCTTGCCTTTTCAAATTATTCAAGTCTACCAGGGGATCCAATTTATGGGAGAGTGAAATTTGGTGAATACTAGAATTGAAAACGAGATAACAGTAATGCAACCAACGGATATTATAAGATCTCTAAAGCTATAGTCAATGATTGCCAGCATAGTAAGATCGTTCTATAGAACTGTATTGTAGAATCCAAGAAATGCCATGTAAAGCAAAGCATTCTCGTATTTGCATTCTACGAAGGCTACGATCGTTTTTATTTTGTTTATGACATGGCCGGTAATTCCATTTCTAGTCTTACTTCAAAGCATTCCTGTGATTGATAATTTTAGCCTTGTATGCCTTCGCTGTAGCAATTTCCTTACGTAATGCATGTAAATCGGCCCTAGAATAGCATCCATGGAGAGAGAGAGAGATAGTATCGTAAGACGCAATATACTGAGTGAACTATAGTAATGGATTGATATATCACTGTTCACTGGATTGGACTATTATGAAGTACGGTCGAAACGAAGGTTCGCATACGTACAAAGTCACAAATTATTCTTGGACATAGAATGTTATTTCCATTAATTATAATGATCGAAACATTTCTACATAAGATACGGTTAACCAACCTTAGAAGATCTTCGCTTTCGTCTATTTGGGTTTCTTGGTCGGTTTGGTCAATAGTTTGTAATGCAGCTTCTAAATCTCTTCCCTACGGGTATATATACGCTCGTCGATTGATAGAGTATTGCAAACAGTGGATTTTACGCTTACGTTCCATTCAAAATAAAATCATCATCTCGAATCGATGTAACCGCAACTGTATGCATTGAACTGTGTGAACCTACCCTTAAGACTTTCTCTCCCTTTTCTGTCACAAGTTTCTCAAATCTATAGTATAAATCAACAGATGTATATTGGTTTAGCTAATATGATTTAATGCCGCCATTCTTCCTTATTGCATAATCCAACATGGACTACTCTACGTTAGTAGTCGATGTATCGAAACAATGTCGTATCTAAACTAAAATTGGGGGGAAAAAAATAGAGGACATCCAAGAAGTTACAAATTGAAACGAGTAGCACTAGATAGTGAGCTACTGATTTGTTTCAATGATTGATGATTGGGTAATCTGTTATCGACAGCATCAATTAATAAATGATAATAATCCATCAGAATATTGAAACATACAACGTATTACTGATGAAAGGGTTCCTTTCCCGTTGTATCAAATGAACTAACCTATCTTTTTCTTCAGAACTTAGTACATTGTTATTATCGACACTATCGGCTAGCCAAGCAAGGAAAGATAGCATGGAATCTTCTTCAAACAGCCATTCTAGACTGGCAGGTTGTAATTTTTGCCCAATGGGACAGCCTAGTTTGGTCAAATTCGTCAATAATTTGTCAATAACTTGATGTGCCGCCATCATGGCGAAGAAAATAATGGATAGTCCTGAATAGAATGCAGAATGCACTGACAGCAATCATGTAGTCTTCAAACTTTCTGCTTATTAAGCTTACTGTACAGCGTTCATCAACGACTAATATAGCAAATGCTTCTCTTGTGATTCGTTGGCAATGATCACTTTGCCAACCGTGTACAGTACTACTGTTGATGATTGCATCGACTTAGAAGCTTTAGTATAGCAAGCAGGCAACGTCGACTATACACTTTGCAACAGTGTACACCGTCTGTCCAGTATGGGCGAAAGACAATTTTTTATTAATAATTCATGAATTGATTGCATTTACCAAGATGTACTTCTATACCTGCGTATTCGTTTTATACACGCACTAGATTGGCAATTCCATCGGTTATTTTCAAGGGTTAATTTTAAAGTAACGCTAAGACAGTTCAGCGTAGGAAGCTGCGTTTCTATGGACTACCAGTGCTAGAAGAAGCCCTTCTAGAAGGAGTCTATGGCAGTGAAAAGGATTTTGACAACATGATCATGCCAGCCACTTCATCCAACTCTAGTGGATACAGATTGAAGGGGTATATTTTTTTTGAATAGTACTCTACTCTAATGATTGCTCTTCATGATGATATTGCAATTTTGAGTTTGAATTGCAAAGAATACCTCATGAATATCCAATCATGGCAGTTTTCTGGCTGTTAGCCATATCGTTGACTGTTATACAGTGGACCTATGCACACATATTGCACAGTCCACTTGTTGATGGTAAGCAAAACCTCTTTTCAAGGCATTTAATATCGAATCATCGTAGTTTTCTGGCTGTTAGCTCTATCGTTGACTGTTAACCAGTGGACCTATGGCGGCCTATGCACACACATTGCACAGTCCACTTGTTGATGGTTAGCAAAACCTCTTTTCAAGGCATTCAAAGGCAGTCAGGCAAAGTAGAGCAATATCATTTTGCTATAAGATATTTTAATACAAGTATCCATGCAATGTATATCAACCATTTCTAAACATGCAGTGAACTCCAAGATTCCATGTCGGTCAAAACTATTGCATTAGCCCGTTTTGGTTGTATTTTTGCTAGTTCAAGGATGCAAAAGGAAACTCAAATCGCTGTAGACTACAGTAGTGAGTTTGCGACATTTTTCAATTTACCGCCACTTTTGTGGGCATGCGTAGACTGTACGCCGTGCGGTACCGTAGTTGTCCAGATCTGACTCCAGCTTGTACTGTACAGTACAGTTACTACAGTACAAGCTTATAGAATTTCCTACAGTACAGTACTGTACAGTAGAGTAGAGTACTGTACACTGTACTGTACAGTACAGTACTCTAATTTTTGATTGGCGGTCATTGCAGACTTGTACAGTACTATACTTACCGTACTAGAGCACGGTACGATACGGTACAGTACAGTACAGGACATCATCACAAGTTTTCCATTGGTGATACGGTACGGTGGCCCAGAAGGCTGAGGATGGAACGACACGTTTGCTGTACAGTACATTTTGAGTGGTACAGTACAAATGTACAGTACACTGAGTACAGTACAGTACTGTAAGCTAGCCCGAATTTTTGACACCCGATCTGGTACTGTACCAGTACCAGATCGGGTTTCGAAATGAGATTTACAGTACTGGACTGAACTGTACACTGTAGAACCATCACAACTTCAATACTGTACAGTGTACAGTACTTGACAGTACAGTATGCAGTGGTTGTGGTGATTGATGTACTGTACAGTACAGTACATTGTACAGTACTGTACTGTACTGTACGCTAGCCCGAATTTTGGACACCCGACCTGGTAACTGTACCAGTTACCAGATCGGGTTTAGAAATGAGATTTACAGTACTGGACTGTACTGTACACTGTAGAACCTTCAGGACCTCAATACTGGACAGTGTACAGTACAGTACACTGTGGTTCTGGTGATGGATGGATGTACGGTACAGTATTGTACTGTAGACCGGACCGGCGTTCATTACAGTCATGCCATGGAAATTCCAGTACAATGTACTGTACAGGACTACCATTGTACTGTACTGTACAGTACTGTACTGTACTGTCAAAAGGCCGTCCACAGTACAATACACTGTAGCTCACGGAACAGCGTGTACGGATTTGTATCCCTTCAACACTGACTTTGCAAAGTCAAAATCCTCTCGGCTCCATGCACATCTTGGTGTATGTGTATTGTACAACTGCAAAATTGCATTTTGGATTCTTCAACTGTATGAATTCTTGCCTGTGTTGCTTGTAATTGGTATCGCCATTGCGTATTTACCTTTGACGTAATACAAATTGGGAAATTTCATCCATCTATCCAGGTTTGAAATGGTTGTCAAATAGCAAATCATAGTCGACTTGCTTTGCAAACTTGTTGTTCTTCTTGCTGTTATACTCTAGTCGGTTGCTTTTACAATTGCAACTGCATGCGACAGTACAGTACAGTAGTGTGTATCGGCATAACTCTTTGTCGTACTGTACTGACGAGGACACCGCGACTAGTTTCATTTTCTACCCTTGCAAATAAGTCTCCATTCAATTCGATCATTTCATATTGGTTATTTCCTTCTTTCTTTTCATACTTGAAAGGATATTCAATTGACTCAAGGATTCCTCTATCCAATCATACAAAGAAGTAAAGGAAAAAAAAAAAAGCGACAAAAATGGCGGAAGGTCCGCGCCAATTTCACATTGGGCCTGATGGTTTACCTTCCATTCAAAGGGTACAAACAACGTTCTCCAATTTTTATTCATCATCATCAGATACTCAACTAACTTAATATACAGATTGAAATCAATTTACAAATCAAGGTCTACTGGCTTTTTACCATCAATCGATCCTAATAGTACAGTACAGTCATTTTATCATCAAGCACCACTAGACTACCGTACTCTACTAGAAGTGCAGTAGTAATAATAAGAAGAACGATCGCCTTGACAGTTTTGGTCAAAAACATCATTGCAATCAAACGCTTTTACATTACTTCAATATTATCTTTAGGCCATACTCGCTGACTAACTATACTATCAATCAAAAAGCAAGTCCATTCCCTTTCAGTTATTTTACTTACAATCAACCATGCTATCATATCCTAAAGTTTACCTGTATAGAGATACACTAACAAGGAACAAGGTTGAAACTTTGCTTTTGTTCTTACCCTTGGTCATAGCTTAATAACAAATTCAACATGGTAAAACTCTATGTTAAAATATCTTTCAGTAATATTGAAGCCATAATGTCTCTCTCTATACCATATTTTACAGTCTTTCTCACTACAAAGACGTAGTAAACACGTTTTAGTAAAGCCATCGTCTTTTACTGCCCCACTTGATACCAGAGATCATGGATGCAATTTTCTTCTAAAAACTGTAGTTGATAAGTTAATCAATCCTTTTTTCCTATCGACGTACTAAACTTGATTGTTGACCGACAGTAATACGTATATTACGGAATAAGTTTCTTACTAGGATGACAACTTACAGTAGATTCTCTACCTGGGTAATCTATTTTACCGTTGATATTGTAGGCAATTACTTCAATGCAAGAGAAAGGAATGGAAAATGATCCCAGATATTCACAACTAGTTGCTCTATCTCGTTCAATACAAAATAATGGACCCCGATCCTTTCCTGTTCCTAACGATGCCTGTATTTATCAAAGTGGTCAAGAACCCAACCGCTTAGGTCAAATAAAGAAGACTACAGTGGACAACAATAACAATAAAGGTATCCCAATATTAATAAAAAAATTCCGTGTCATTGCTTACTATGCAAGAATGAAAGAATCATGTTATGCATTATTTCATAATTTAAATTTGCAATTCGATATTTAGTAATCATATGACGGTGGCAATTTTGATTTTAATTTATTACAAACGATAGAAAGGTAACGTAAAATAACTGCAGATTGTCTTTGTTGTAAACTACAGGTAGTAACTTTAGCGCAACGCAGTTACAACAATTACGAGCTCAAATCTTGGCTTATAAGACGCTAGCGCGCAACCAGTCATTGAATGATAACGTCTTAGACCTAGCAAAAGGTGAAATGTCCAGTCACCATTTACAGCAAGTAAGCTTATTTTATATTACTATTTAGATTACTATTACAAAAGGCTGTTCAGCCATGACAACTACCACTATTTTATCAATTTCTACCTCCATTTAATCTCACGCAGAGGTGTTTTCATAATATCAACAGTACTGTACATTTCATACATTAAAAAAAAATGGATAACTGTGATAATCATAATTGGAATAGTAATATCTTTTCATAATATCCAATAACATGCAAATTGAACAGTAATAAACTGTTATCAATAATACATATACTACATATTTTTCCATCGGGTGCAATAAATCATCAGCAACAAAATGGAAATTCATCATCGATTAAAGCAATGCCGTTGACAACACTACAAGACATGCAAAACAATGTTCCAACTACGTCAGTGAATTCACCTGCACAAACAGTTTCTAATCCTTCACTCAAGAAATCACAAATAAATGCTTCCGCTACGTACTTAGCATTGACAGCCAATCAAGATAAGGGCAATAAACTAGCTCCACTTTCGAAACCATCGGGAATCGATCCAAAAGTTATTTATGAAGAAAGGAATCATAGGTATAACGGTAGTTATAGGTTACTTGATTACATATTGAAATAAACTACTATGTAATGCATTCTAACTTGTAAAATCTCTACAAGTTCTTTTTATATATATATCTTGATATTTTTTAATTTACTATCCTATGCTTTTAGATGTAATGCTCGAATAATGCAACGAATTGTCGAATTACAAAATTTACCTGATGGACTTAGTAAAGAAATGACAATGCGCGCCAAAATTGAATCATTAGCTCTAAAGCTATTAAATTTTCAGCGCAAGGTATTAATAATAGTAATTATTGTGATCGCTTTACAACATGTAGAGATCAGTTGTATCAGTATAACGGCTAATTATATTATTGATAGCAATCTTTTCTGTTTTACTTTTGTTGTATATATATATATAATAAGCCACGTTTTCAAATCTTATATTTTGACAATAGCTACGAACGGAAGTTGTAGCTTGCACTAGAAAAGATGCAACCTTAGAGACAACTATAAATCCGCGACTTTATAAACGTACTAAGAGACATTCTTTAAGAGAAGCTAGGTAAAATGGATTACACTATTAATATTGTTGATAACAAACGTTTCAATAAAATAATTTTTATCTCCTCTTATTATGATATTAAAGAACTACGGAAGAGTTAGAGAAACGACAACTCATGGAACAGGAACGAAAGAAACGACAGAAGCATCAAGTAAAAAACCACTTATTGAATAATTATTGTCAATTAACTATGAATGCGGATATAGAGTGGCATTTTAGATTTGTAACTGTAATATGTTATTTTTATAACAAAGGAATTCTTAAACAAAGTCCTTCAGCATGGTAGAGATTTCAAAGAATACCATCGAGCAACTGCTATTAAAGTGAGCAAATTAAGTAAAGCTGTAGCTTTGCACTATGCTAACAGCGAACGAGAACAAAAGAAAGAAAGTGAGCGCTTAGAAAAGGAGCGAATGAGAAGACTAATGGTAATTTAATTGATTATAACTTTTATACGGTAACATTTACTAATTCAACTTGAATTATGTTGGCAATATCTTAAGTTTATAATATTTGGCATTTAAATTATTTACCAGGACGAAGATGAAGAGGGATATCGGAAACTAATCGATCAAAAGAAAGATTCGCGTCTGGCTTATTTATTATCTCAAACTGATGAATATATCGCGAAAATGACTAAACTTGTGGTACAGCATCAAAAGCAACAAAATCAAATAATAAGACCCGAAAAACCGAGACGCAAAGTTGAAGTAAGATTGTACTATACCTTGACTGTTGCATTATTGATTAAAATATGCGGCGTTATAGCACTAATATAAATATTAATATGTTTTTTGTAATCATACTTGCTGGTGGATGAGAAGGAAGTAGATAAAGGTAATCAATCATTAAGTATGCTTTACAGAGTATAAGTGTACCTAAAATTATATGCTTAATTAAATCGTTTACTGGTTTTTAAATTTCTACAAATCGTATCAGATGGAGAATCTGCATTATCGAATGAGGTTAGAAAAAGTAGCGCTAACGTACTCTTGTAATATGCTGAAAGTATACATTATATATAGATACCTGTTTTACTGATGTGTTCATTTTTAGAATGAAGAAGCTGACCGTATTAAAGGTAATGGTACGAAAACTTCGGAAATAAGCACATCGGGAGTAAATTCTCCATCAGAAAACTACTCTGAGTATGTCTATTTTTGTTGACGGTACTTTTTTTGTCTTGAATGCTAAAATATATTTTTTTATGGGCAAATGCTTAACGTGTATGTAATCCTGGTCATCGGCTGATAGAAATCTTGCGGATAAGGTTTGTTAGACGTCAATATCTACTATAGTTACTGTTTATTGTTATTATTAATTAATTAATTAGGTTTAAACAGGTCTTTTTTAGTTATGCCTATAAGTCAGTGAGTTGATAAAGAATAATATATTATTATATCAAATTAGGATGGCGAAAATAATACTCCTAAGAAAGATAAAGGAAGCAATGCGGGTGCCAAAAGGTACGTTTACGGACGGATACTATGTAAGTTTATTACGGTTGATACTAAATAAGCAACTTTGATCATCTAGTATCTTGAAAGAAGATGATGAATACAATGTGTCAGGCAATGCAAAGAACTACTATAGTATAGCTCATATGCATCAAGAAGAAGTACGTGAGCAACCCAAAATGTTAATCAATGGAACTTTAAAATATTATCAGGTAACTCGGCTTAAGAGTTGTATCGGTTAAAAAATGATATTATGATGGTATTGACTGCGTCATTGCAACAATTCTTTATTTTTAGCTCCAAGGTTTAGAGTGGCTCGTTTCCCTTCTTAATAATAGTTTAAACGGTATTTTAGCGGATGAAATGGGTCTTGGTAAAACGATACAAACGATTGCCTTGTTAGCTTATCTTATAGAGAAAAAGAATATGACTGGCCCATTCTTGATTATTGTTCCTTTATCGTGAGTTATTATGACCTTAAGTGTTACTATTTCTGATGTATATCTGATCACTTCGTACACGAAAGTAAGGGTCCTGTTTTAACTGTAAGGTCATGTTATTATTGCAGCACTTTATCTAATTGGGTATTTGAATTTAACAAATGGGCGCCAGCCATCGTTAAAATAGCATATAAGGTAATACTAGCCATACAGTCTTCAATGTCTTAATCAAACATGTTGCTAACTGAATACGTACAGAATAAGCATACCTATACAATTTTCATATATTGTAGGGTTCACCTTTGATACGTAAAGCTATGCATCCTAAAATAAGATCTGGAAGGTTTAATGTTTGCTTGACAACGTACGAATATGTGATTAAGGACAGAAGTGTGCTATCGAAAGTAAGATATAATTATATATTATCATATTAATCTAACTACTAAATATACAGTCTGTATTTTTAACCCTGTAGTTAACTAGATTCCAATATTTACTTCGAATACTTGGCTTGTTAACGATGATATGATTTTTAGGTAAAATGGAAATATTTGGTAGTGGATGAAGGCCATCGCATGAAGAACCATAATTGCAAGTTAACTCAAGTTCTAAACAGTGCCTACTTAGCGCCTCATCGTCTTCTATTGACCGGCACGCCTCTGCAGGTATTCTATTATTTTCAGCTGCTCAGTTATTTGCTACGCCTTTTTAAAACTGCTGTTAATGATCCGTTTTATTACTACGTTAGTTGATTGTACAAAACGTTTAATAACATATATCGTATTATATATCTCATAACTGATAGAACCATTTACCGGAATTATGGTCATTGATGAATTTCGTTTTACCAAGCATATTTAAATCATGTAACAGTTTTGAACAATGGTTTAACGCTCCTTTTGCGACTACTGGAGAAAAGGTATTACATGAAGTAGTTTCATAATCTCAATATTGTATTATACATTAGTTACCGATATTTTACTACTTCTTATATAATTTCCTAGGTGGAGCTTAACGAAGAAGAGACTATCTTAATTATACAACGTCTACACAAAGTGAGTTTGCTTATATACGAACTTTAAGTTTAATTGCAATTGTAACGCTATTACGATTTCTGTCATACAATTTAAGAAATTTGAATCTGTTTACAGTATTGATAAAATTGCATGTATCTGTTCTTCTAGGTTTTACGCCCGTTTTTACTGCGTCGATTGAAGAGGGAAGTCGAGTCTCAGCTGCCGGAAAAGGTTTTAATAAATAGTTAGCTTCACTTGTATATCTTAAAAAGACTTGACTGTTCTTAAAATCCATCTGCTTTCGTAGACTGAGTATGTTGCCAAGTGCGAAATGTCAGCCCTTCAACGATTACTTTACGATCATATGCAAAAACAAGGAGTTCTTCTGACGGACGGATCTGAGAAAGATAGAAAGGTATAAATCCTAATTGGTCTTTAAAGATAGCGATTATTTTAAGATTGTAATGGCACTATCTAATGATATGTAGGGTCATGGTGGTACGAAGGCCTTAATGAATACGATTATGCAACTTAGAAAAATATGCAATCATCCGTTTCTTTTCCAACATATCGAGGTTTGCCATTTTCATATGTTTTTGGTAGTACCACACCGTAGCATCGATATGATTTAAATGAAATTTTTTGTTATAATTTTATTATATGATCGTTTCTCACCCCAAGTCTTACAGTCACTATGTTTATATCGTATTAGGAAGCACTAAGTGAGCATTTTGGAATGAAAGGAGGACTAGTTACAGGGTAAGTTTTTTGTACCATTTGACTTCGTATGATATCTAGCTGTGTGGTATTGGCAATGTCTATACTTTTAATTCTTCTAGTTATTATTTGCTATGGTAAAACTAATTAGTTTGAAATACACATCTGTAAACCTGCATTTGCATGAACGTTACAAATTACAACGTATACTCATTTTATTTAGGTGTAACATTTATCGTGCTTCTGGTAAGTTTGAACTCCTCGACAGAATGTTGCCAAAGCTACAAAGAACAAATCATCGGTATTAATAATAATTATTACTATATGAATTGTAAGTGAAAATCTGAAATTGAGGAGTATTGCATCCTTGATTAAATTATGCATTATTAAAAAATTTTTATAGTGTCTTAATATTTTGTCAAATGACGAATTTAATGACTATTATGGAGGACTATTTGGTTTGGAGAGGTATATGATGAATATATACTGTATCTTCGGTATTCTAAATGCTTATTTATATATATCGGCTTGAAAATACGTGTTTTATCTAGGCTTTCGTTATTTGCGTTTGGATGGTACAACCAAAGCAGAAGACCGTGGTCAATTGCTAGCACTTTTCAACGCAGAAAATTCTCCATACTTTATCTTTCTCTTGAGTACTAGGGCTGGAGGATTAGGACTAAATTTACAAAGTGCTGATACTGTCGTCATATTTGATAGTGATTGGAATCCTCATCAAGTATTGTATATGAATTAATCTGATTATTTTAACTGATATGGGATAAGAATAATGGAAAATTTTCAAATGTGCTATAGGATCTTCAAGCGCAAGATCGTGCTCATCGAATTGGTCAGCAAAACGAAGTTCGTGTTTTACGATTAATGACTGTACAAAGCGTCGAGGAAAAAATACTTGCTGCTGCTAGATATAAGTTGAACGTTGACGAAAAGGTACTCATAATGGTGATATATAGTGTAAGGTAGTGATACGAGTAGAGTTGTGTATGTCGCGATAAGCTGTATGGATTATCTTTAGGTAATTCAAGCTGGAATGTTCGATCAAAAATCAACTGGTAGAGAGCGTCGCGCATTCTTACAAGCTATTCTAGTTCATGAAACGTCGGAAGAAGAGGTTAAAATTATTACTTTGTCATGTAATTTACAAAAATAGCAACCATATTATTGATGCTTATAAAAGAGTAATCTTGATTGAAGAAAGATTATCAACTTCTATGATAGGAAGGGACGGAAGTTCCCGATGACGATATGATAAATCAAATTATCTCACGCTCAGAAGAGGAATTCGACTTATTTCAGGTAAGATTAGTTTGGTTTTTGGCATTGCGTGGATATTTAGTGACGCCTTGAATTTCTATCGTCATTCCAATATAGCGCATGGATGTGGAAAGGAGAGAATTTGAAGATAAGGTTTGTCCTTTAACAGTTATGGTTGTATTATGAATGCATCAATTTCGATCTAAGAATTTTACTACTAGTTATCAATAAGCTAACTGCAAACGTATATTAGGACCCTTTTCTGAAGAATCTTGGACGTTTAATGATCCAGAGTGAACTCCCTGCTTGGCTGGTAAAAAATGAACAGGATGTCCAGAAACTAACTATTGAAGAAGAGGAAGAAAAACTTCTAGGACGAGGGTCACGTCAAAGGCGAGAAGTCGATTATACTGATGGATTGACGGAAAAGCAATGGCTCAAGGTAAATTACGGTTTTTTTATGTGTAATTTCGATTTATGTAATGTACCATACAATATAATAATGAGCAATATTCATACAATTAAGGCGATTGAAGATGGTAACTTAGAGGAGCTTGAGCTGAAGAAGAAAAAAAGAAAATCGGAAATAAAAGAAACGGAGTGTAGTGAATCACCTCCACCACCACCACCGCCACCACCACCAGCAGTTGTTGTATGTAATTTTTGATGGACTAATGATCCGTAATGCTTCTCTTGATTAATTTATGTCTATGTTCTACTACAGAATAAGAAGAAGAGGGGTAGATCATTAAGAGGTGAGCTTAGGTCCAGATTGAGGATGATACTGTCGATTAACATTTATTTTCCGCACTCAAATCTCAACTTACATATACGATTTATTAATCCAAATATAATAGAAGATTATGATCCGAACCCTAAGGAATTAGTCGAAGATATGAAAAAATTAATTCGAACCGTTGTAAATTATACCGATAGGTAACTGTGCTGAAATGATAAAACTGTTTCTAAAATTTTAATTTTTACCAAAAAAAACATTTTTAACTTTATTCTAAATAGCACTGGTCGTCGCTTGAGCGAGATATTTATGGTTTTACCGTCTAAACGAGATCTCCCTGATTATTATCAAATCATCAAGAATCCAATCGATATCAAAAAGATTAAGGTTTGTTGACGACAGTTGTAAATGGTGCCTTCTCTTGATAAAATAATAACGGATTTGTTAACGCCAAATTTTATTTATCTTAATTAACTGTACGTATTGTCTCCCAATTTCTGCTAAATTATTCAGGAGAGAATAAACATGCATCGTTACAGACATATTGATAACCTGGAGGAAGATGTTTTACTATTATTTCAGAATTCTAGAATTTATAACATGGAAGGTTCTCAGGTGATTTTTTATTGCCATTATTAACATTTCGAGTGAATAATTCAGTGGTGATGTCCGTTTTCATAACGATATCATTGCGCAAAGTAAAACGATGCTACATAATTGAATTTCATTCTCTTACTTTGCAGATATATGAAGATTCTTTGGTGCTTGAAGTAGGTTTTACTCGAAAGCTTATTTATTGCATTAACACAAGATTTAAAAATATTTAAAGCATGACTTAAAAATGATCTTGTTTAAAAATATAGAATGTCTTCTTAGAAGCTCGTGAAGCTCTAACTGGAAGTGCTAGTGCTAGTGAAGATAGCTTTGAAAGTCAAGTAAGTAAAATAATTAATTTCTTATACAAAAGACTTCAGAACCACAAGATAGGATTTATAAGACATTTTATGCCCATGCAACTTAGAATTACAAGCAGAATGATACGGAAGAAAATAATAAAGAAGGTAAAAGCGATATTACAGCCTTGATTAAATTACCAGCAATTTTGACTAATACGTATATGACTTCTATTGTAAGGTCATATTCGGCTGAAACTCAAGATTAAAGATATTCCTGACGTTAAAGTATCGTCATCTTCCGCCAGAAAAAGACGCAATCGAGGACGCCCACGTCTGTATGATGAAGAGGATAATGACTAGATTGCGTAGACCGAGATATTCGATTTTTAGAGAGACTAAATTATTTATAACTTGTAGTACCTGATTATTACTTAAGTAGATATATTTTCTTTACCCCATTCAGCCGTTCTTTCGTCATCTCACAAAATTTCTTGTGCTAGCTTCTGTACAACAAAAGTAACACATCTAAAGCAGACCCTGATTCATTTAGCTGATGGTTGCTTTTATCGTACGAGTGCTATGTACTATATTAGTGCTGTATGTATCACTGTACATCTCGCTGTTATTTCTGTAGTGGTTCGTATAATGTTATAAAATGTAATGAAGAACATACCAATACTGTAGTACTTATGAACTGTATTTTACAGTGTTTGACGGTGATTTTCACCGTGATAAATGTCAAAGTGTATCTGTCATATCTGCCGATATAGTATTGTGTTAATGTTCTGGTTTAACGTAAAGAAATCAGTAATTTAATTCGTAGTTATGATAGGTGTATAACTACTATATATATACTGTATTTATATTATACAAACATTTCATAATAAACTTTAACAATTTTGATGTTATGTTTGCTAAACGTAAAACTTTTTCTATCAAAATAAAAAAAGTTCAAGTTTACATTATTCCGTAGCTGCTATGATACATCTACGTAATAACTTTGGTGCAATTCTTTACATTGACGTGAGTAGACTTGACTACTCACAGTATACAATACAGTATTAGTATTTAGTACAAATGAAGCTTCGTTACTTTAAGTATAGCGCGTATCTCACTCCGTTTGCTGCACAGTACTGTATTTTAGGCTACACTTGAGAGTTACTGCGAGTAGTGGCTATGGATAAATGCCACACATACGTATAACATTAAAGTTATAGTTAGATGATTCAATTGGGAATGTTTGAATAGTTCAAGAGTATTTATGGAATAATAATAATATAATGCAAAGTATACAACTTCGTACTAAAAGTGAGTTTAAAGGGATCGAGTTATGTGCTAGCCTGATGAAGAAATTCTGAATTGTTTTATATCGTAAACTTATTTTTGTTAACTATTTTACATTCACTTTATCAGTTAATTGTCTGTTGATGCTCATTTACTGTGCTTTTGGGTTGTATTCACTGAAGTAATCTAGTATAATAGCACCACTTGGATTCTCTGATATCCCAACATACTACACCCTCTAATCGGATAATCCTTTAATGCAGCAAAGAGCGCCGTATCAAGTGCTGTACCTTTGATTTAGAGTATTCATAAATCTCTTCAAGTTTTTGTTATCTGCAGTACTATCAGAGTAGGATTTTGGAAACATTTTGACGCGGCTAATACAGTGCGCATACTGTATAAATAATTTTATGGGAAGGCAAGGTGATTTAGTTTGAGTGAGACCAGTCTGTATCATTCAAAGCACAGTAAGTCAATGTGCAATTTACAGTTAGGCCCAATCACTTCTACATAGGTTTACTGTGTTGTGCATTTGGTTGAAAGAGCGGTTTTCAGTGAAGCCTAGGAAAAATTTGTTGAAAGTACCATATGACTTCCAGAACATAGTATAGTACAGGAATTTACCGAATAGTCAAGCAGATCAATTCGTATATTCCCTTTGTATTTTTCAATTAATTAGAAGAAGACGTTGAAGACAAGGCTTTCTGCCTTGCAGGAATTTACAGAATATTCAAGCAGATCAATTTGTATATTCCCTTTGTATTTTTCAATTAATTAGAAGAAGACGTTGAAGACAAGGCTTTCTGCCTTGCAGAAATTTACAGAATATTCAAGCAGATCAATTTGTATATTCCCTTTGTATTTTTCAATTAATTAGAAGAAGACGCTGAAGACAAGGCTTTCTGCCTTGCATGTATTCGTATTAACTGTACACATCTACAGTACTTGTATTACAGTGTACAGTACAGTATGTACAGTACTGTACTGTGCATAGTGTTGAATAGTACCGTAGGGAATACTGTAAGTCCAAGTTCAGCAACGAAGGCGAATTCAAGCACAGTACAGTATAAGGATGCTGTTGGCAACAGGAGTAACTGTACTGTAGTACAGCGTGTCTTGCAAACTTTTGAATGGTTTCATTTAAAGCACACTTGACTCAATATTATTTAATGAATTCATTGATCAAGATAAAAATAAAAGTTGGTATAGTATAGTGCAGGTAGTAGCAGACTAACAGTTGCATACGAGTTATCATCCACGAGTATCGCTCGTCACTTGCAGGCTAGTCTATAGACTCTATACTACTGTATATAAAGAGGAGTCACGAGTCACGACTAGTCACCCACTCACGATCATAGCATGAAGTACCGCACTGCGCATTTAGCTAGCATCCAGCTTATTTGTACAGTACATTATAGTAGTGTTTGTATGCGTGCGTGATTCGATAAAGTGCTTTATTTACGAACAAGTGCCGCGTATGTGTTACGGCATAGCTCGGTTTCCTTTTTAAGATTTCAAGTACGTACAGTGTACGACGTACATATCAAATTTGGTTTACTGTGGTGATGAACTGTTTCCAGCAGATCTCCCAAGATTTTTCTTTCTTTCTTGACTGCTTTGCCTGATCTGATTTACTGCATATCGATACTGCCATACTGTACTGTATGATGACAACATCACAGTGGAACAAAAGCCACCTACTGTACAATGTACTGTACTCTACTGTCTCCATCACAGTAGTCTTGTCTAGAGTCGTAAAAACTGTATCAGTCTCTGACTGTACAGTACGGTAGAGTGTACTGTACATTATTATGGAGTCACCTTAGTACAGTATGTACTGTCTCCATCACAGTCGTCTTTTCGTCGTAAAAATTGTACCAGTCTCTGATTATACGGTACAGTTCAACCTGACGTACAGTGTACATTATTATGGAGTCAGCTTAGTAATGTACTGTCTCCATCACAGGAGTCTTTTCGTCGTGAAAACTGTACCAGTCTCTGATTATACGGTAGAGTGTACACATTATGATGAAGTCACCTTTTTAGGAATACAGTATACTCTCTCCATCACAGTAGTCTTTTCGTCGTAAAAACTCTACCAATCTCTGATTATACGTCAGGTTTGCAGTACGTACAGTATACTGTACTGTACTGTACTGTACATTATTATACTGTACTGTAGAGTCACCTTACAGTACATTGTACAGTATCGTTGTACTGTACTGTCTAACCCTGAGTGGAGGCTTTTCGCTGTCAGGGGCAAAAAAAATTTTTTTACCCTTGTAATCCTCAAGTTTGACCAACGTGTTGTGCACTTCCAGTATGCCGCTGTACTGTACAGTGTACAGTACAATACCACGCTACTTTACAGTACTACATTGTACTGTAGACGGTCAAATACTGGACTGTGGTGTTGTGGATGAGTCTTGAAACGCATACAAGAATGAGACTTGAAAGCCGTTTGATTCTCTTTTATTAACGAAGATCCAACTTCTACAAAGTACAAACGTACAAACTGCCGCACTGCGTTGACTAGTACCGTTGTACCGCTGGTGAGCCATTGGTGGAGCGATAGAGCAGCGCCAAAAGCAGGCGTACGAGTACTAGCTTAGCACGATTTGGCACCGATTTGCCATATCTTAAAATCCTCATCGATTGATGATAGAGGCTTATAGGTGTATTGCGAATTGAATGCATTGACAATGTATGCTAAAGGCAAAGGCAATAATTCTACTACTACGCCTCCGGATAGTCAAGCACGTGAAAAGTAAGTGGAAATCAATGATACCAACTTGAGCATTAGTGTTCACTTCAACATGGAAATTTGTAAAATGATGAATACTTTTGCAGTAGCAGATTACCGGATTTATTATTGATGACATGTTATGCAATGTCGAATATTCCTGCATAGTGTTGTATCAGTCAATAGCTGTTGTCGACTATGACACCGTACAAAACTTCAACCTTCTCCTGCTCCTACTTGAACCGTCTACATTGAGATCTGCATGTTTTGCTCATAGGCTGATCGTTGACGATGCTTTTTCTTTCTCTTCCCTTTTTTCGGCCACAATAATATCATCATCATGTTATGGCATACTTGTGTGCATAGTAGAAAAAGAATGCCATACCGCACCACTAATCGTTCATTACTGACCGATAATACCATTCAACGATATGGCATATCGACTGGTAGTTGAACAATTATACACTAGTGTCATAACAGATATTGCAAACCGCGAGACAATGTTCTTTTCTTATCTTTACGGTATATTACCGTGTTTTTGATTAGCTATAGTATTGCTCAGTATGCTGTAATGAACGGAAGTACTAGGATAATTCGTTACCTACTCAAACTTTGCTATCCTTTCCATGGCTACTTCATTCGATGTCTCCACTAAAACTCGTCTACGTACAGTAACTTTATTTTCGTTATGATGCTTGTGAAAAAAAAGACATTGAAATCGTCATAGACCAATGTAGTCTACTCTACCGTATACAGTAGTAGTACCTACAGGAAGAGAATACGCGTAGATTAGGAATTATAATTATCCATGCGTATCTTTGCGTTACCCTTAATAGATAGATATTTGTTCAATTTTACATGATTAGTAATAGTATTCAAGTTTGGGCCGTAGTGTTTGTGTTGTTTGCTTCCGTAGATAGTTGAATGACGCAACTGATACTTTTTATCGCACAAGTAATGACAACAGTGTAGAACTTGGAAATGCAGTCCACTCTGATCTGTTTATACTTCAGAGCCAAGCGATAGCAAAAGATGAGAAATATTGTACAGGATATTGTATTATGCTTCTGCAGATGTGGTTGAAATGAACTAGCGTCATTTTTCTTCAAGAGTCATTGTTGGCTATTGTAATTCAGTTGAAAACATGTACAATATAGCAAGTATGTTTTAGTTTCTAATGAATTGTGATCTTTTCAGATTGGCCGGCTATGTATACGAGTATCTATTCCACACAGGAGCTAAGAAGGCTGCTCAATCCTTTCTCTCTGAGGTTAGTTATCAAAGAGGTGTACACTATTTGGATGTATTCATTTTGCATGATAACATCGGTGCAACACAATATGATAACGTTTTAAGTCGATGTAGTTAATTTGCTTTAATTAAACGTTGGGCACATGCGATTCAATTATTTTTATTATCGATTGAGACCTTTTGATACGATCAGTATCTGCCAGTGTAAGATCCACTATCGTAAAGCGTAAAGTATTTATTAGTCGTGGACTGTGTGTATTCCTATTTTTTGCAACCAGCACTCATTTATTATTCTACAGTATTGATGATATTTGATAGACTTGTTTTTGCAATGCTAAACTATTCTTGCTTTTCTGTTGCGATAGATATCATAGAATGTTATCGCATTTTTCCCTGTTTCGCTTTGTGTTATTAAATTCATAGTACGATCAACAGTGGTACTGTACGTATCGGCCATACTAAGTACTGTACTGTACAGTAAAAAGTAACATTTTGCCCTTGGGTACTCATCTCTGCAGTACAATGGCAACAGTATCGGTAATCGCGTCAGCTCGAGTGTTGTTGTGGGTCCAGTAGTGGACAGCTCGTACAGTACGTCAATATTGTAGTACTAAACTGTAGAACTGTACTCCCGACGCCAGTCCGAAAATTGGACCTCAAACGATGGTACCGTACCGGACTCTATCCCATCATGCTGTACTGTCACTGCACTGGGAATCAGTGATGGAGGCATTTTTGGGGAAAAAGCAAGCTATTGGAGTAAATTCCCTTTTTTGGGGGGGGGATTGAACCCTTGAATTGGCCGAGAGATGGAGTAAGTGAGTCCATCTCCATGCGGATGTTAGTAACCGATTCGTCTCAATTGTACGCTCTAGTACCAGATCGACATCGGTAGCTTTGTGAAATGGATTATCCACAGCCATCAACAAACGACGTGATGGTGTAATCATACTATCATTAGCGTTTGGCAATCAGTGATGGAGGCATTTTTGGGGGAAAAAGCGAGCTATTGGAGTAAATTCCCCTTTTTTTGGGGGGGGGGGGATTGAACCCTTGAATTGGCCGAGAGATGGAGTAAGCGAGTCCATCTCCATGCGGATGTTAGTAACCGATTCGTCTCAATTGTACGCTCTAGTACCAGATCGACATCGGTAGCTTTGTGAAATGGATTATCCACAGCCATCAACAAACGACGTGATGGTGTAATCATACTATCATTAGCGTTTCATGATTATAATAATAGTTATTGAATACAAGTTACAGTTGTAGACTAGCAAGGAGTGTTTACAATACAATACAGTACAGCACGGATGGGACATTTTCAACGTGCTACTACGGCGCACATTGCCCCTTTTACAAGCCTTTGGACTTTTTTCTTGTCTTGATTTAATCGATATTGCATATTGATAGAACGCCAGTTCCTAAAAAATGACCGATTTAAAATGATAGTAGAGTTGTTATCCATTCAACCAGTATTCACTTCATAACAGCAATGATGATATAACATTAATCAATTACTATTGATAGTACACACTCAATGGATGCATTAAATGTGACGTTTTGATTCAATTGGCAAAGAACTACAGTACTCAATACTGTCATTGCTTGCATTAATTATTATATTATTACTGTATGATTACCGGAATGAATCCGTAAAGGAATATTTTATATGATACGATTGTATAGTAATCTACTGTAGATATAGAATCCTATATTGATATCCAATATACTGTAAATAGCCATAACTAACTGCGGTTAATAATTATAACCTAATAGCTGTCTACGTATTGAAAGTGTCGATCGACACCATCAATAACTATCTCGGTGTTGCATTGAAACCAACACCTGACCTTTGCTCGTAATCCCTTTGGGTTACTTTGTCTATTAATTGAAAAGATCAAAAGTATCAAATAACCAGGTACTCACAAGTAAATGATCTTCTTTGTATGCATACGATTGAGTGAGTTGATTATACAGTATTATGATGCAAGGCCTGCTAGATGACTATAGCAGAACTATGGAGTGTAATTGGGTGGCAAGTAGTAGTTTCATACAAAGGATGAATGTCGACCGTTATGTCTAGACGCAAAATGACGACCATCAAAACTAAACTAAAAATGATATTGATGCCTGGCGTCATGAATGATATTTGAATACTGTTTGTATTGCTATACTACTTGATATCACACCAGATAGTTAGTACAAATGTTAAAGAATACCATTAAAAAACATACAATTTAATTTTAATCATTCAAAATAAATAATTCAATCACTTAGAATACTCATCACCATAGGTCCACTTTACAAACTCTATAAAATGTTGTTGCAACTGAAGGAATCTCTACTAAAAATAGTCTTATTCAGTTGTTTGGCCCTTCTATTTTATTGGACAGTCGATTATGTACACTACAGGATGTATATTCTTTGCTAATTTATGTTTCGAAGAATATACTACATAGATGTTCTACGTAGTGCAATATTTGAAAATTTGAAAATTCTGATTACTTTGAAATTGGTTCAGTATACTACGGTGCATTATTCGATGTTAGCAATTAATTATTTCACTATGATATATAGATGAGATGGGAAAAAGCTCTACCTACCGTTGATCATCCTGGATTCTTGGAATCATGGTGGTGGTAAGTAAAGTGTCCTTTCTGTTCATGCGTATCTAAGCATTTAAAATATTGTCGAAAGTTGACCTAAATATATGCACGTGATTAGATTATGTTCTATAATCTTAATTCTCGTGCGTACTACAATTTCAAGAGCGTTTTATTTCATTAAGAACAATATTATCTCTTATGGATTGATTGCATATTCATTACATCGAGCCCTATTTCACGGTTTATCATTAAAATTGAAAATTTAGACTGATATAATTCAATTACATTGAATCTTTTCTGAGCTTGTACTTACCATATTTAGATTGTATTATAGTATGAAAAAAATGCTTATGTTAAAGCCTATCCATTACAAATGTACGATGACATAAAATGACTCTGTCGCGTTCCCTTGGATGCGACTACATGTTGTTCATACTGGCAGTCTACAATACTGGACATTACTTTAGGATTAAAAATGTAAAACGAGGAAAACGGTATTATCTTTAGTATAACTAGTACCTGAAATCTTCGCCATTTAAAAGAAATCTCTTCACTTATTGTACTCATTTTTTTTGTTTATGATCATATGTCCTGTACCATACGTCATTGATATTAAAAAAAAATTTTATAAAATTCGTACACTATGTAGTAAAGCATTCCCATTCCTATTCTGTACAGTATTGTAATTCTACCATATCGGTATAGAGTGACAATTTAGGCGAATATAGCTCATTGCTATACTATAAGCTTATTTTATTATTTGCCCAAATGCAAATGTTGATTGGAAACTAGTGTAAGTAATGGTAAGATAGGCGTACCTTCAATTTCAAGGGATAATGTATATACTAGACTATGTGCAAGCTTTCCTATATTGTGCTCATATAATGTATAATACATGTAAATTTTTAGTGTCAAGGGTTTAGTTCAAATTATTACCCTAGGATACGGTGATAGTTCAATTACTAATGATGTATTACATTAAAACTTACTAGATGACAATATGGACACTCAGTTTCATAACAAATGATTAGTTCTTGGTACATCCTCACTTCTGAAATCAGAGCTATTAATCATTCCAATATAGGGGTCTTGGCGTGAGTTCTATTCCGTTTTTTCTGCTCCGCATACCTTAATTAATATAGATAAATCACAACTGCAAAACTATAATACTGCGATAATAGGATCAGAATATACTTTAAGTGTTCGATTCTTACTTTTCATAAGCTAGAGTATTTATCTACTGAAAGTAAAACGTTAATATGCTTCATCTTGAAGTATTGTAAGGTGGTTATGCTTTCTGATAAATTAATTAGTATCCGAATAAGTAATAGACAATTTTAAAATTTATAGTACTTTCTAAATAGAAGATAGATTGAGATTACTTTTCAATCTGATGTATAAACCCGGAAATGTGGATGTATTTACTTTCAGATGTTGAAAAAACTTCGCTCTTACAAAATGACATTTACGTAATTTACGATATACGCTTGTTGACATTTTAGTCTTGTTATGCAGAAAGCAGACGTTGCTAATGTGAAACTGATCATTTACGAGTTCGAGCCAATTTACGCCTTTATAGTGTATCTTGGTACAAATTGGACGACAGTATCAGTGCTTCATACAATGCGCTTCTTTATATTTTATATTAAATATATCGATTTATGTAGACGAGACTATTGACGTCAAAAAGAATTATCATTTTAACTCCCACGTATAAACGTATGGAATTTGTCCTGTCTAATAGACATTACTCTAAAATTATTGAAAAGAAATGCGCTTTTAAAATATTTGCTTATATCTAATGCAAATTTATACAGCGTAGTCTTTACTCGTGTCAAAATTACCTACTTCATGTGCGAATACATTGCACAGAATAATTTGTGTAATTAATTTGGTGCTATAATCTACCAACATTTCATATATAGTATGATATATTAATTTGCTTGTCATACTCTAATGACCATATCTGGAAATCGATGGTTATACAGAAAGTATTATGCTATCATGGAAATGACTCATTTGATCATAATCCACGTGATTTGGCTGTTACATCCTAGAGACAATACACTGTTTATATAATCTTTGCACGATAACTTCTTAACAAGCTGAGTAAAGTAGTAGTTGAGTACTTTTGTCTCAGTAGTTTGTAATATTTTTGCACATTTACTTTTCTAATAGTGTCTTTTGGGATTTATATTGTGCTGCCCCGGACTTGCGAGAAAACTACGAACATTCGAACGAAGCAAGGTTTATGCAAGATTATTATGTGAGTTTGGAATGATTGCACTGTATCTAGTGGTATATAAGTTTTATATTTAGCATCTATTCGCTCGAAATTTGATGAGGACGAGCAAAATCCTATTTTAATAGACCGTAAAAATATATAATATAATTTGACATATAACTGCAATATCTATTAACATTTAGAGTTATTACAATTCCTGTTAGATATCTAAAGATAAATAAAGAATGAATCAAGGTTTCATATCGCTAGACTATTTTTCTTATTGAAACAGTATTAACGATATGTTTTACCGTTAGTTACGCATGAAGTGATATAGCTAGCTATTACTGTACTTTAGAAAGTACCTTGTACAATAAAGTGTATCGTATGGTACTTTTATTACATTTTAACATGAATAATAACTTAATAACATGTGTTTACTAGATTGCAAAGGATGTCTTTTATTTTACTATGAATGTTAGTTAGCTACTCTCACTAATTTTACAACTGTCATATTTTCTTTGATGATTCTCAGCATTCTAATAACGCTCCTGCCGCTTCTCCGTCTATAAATAATCAATTTTCTGGAAACGATATTCAAGCTGGTATGCCTTCGACAGCGGGCGTGCACGGTTATTACCCGGTATGTTCGCTTGTAAATTTAAACTAATTTAAAAATTCTACCTTCATAATTGAATTATGACGTTACTGCATTGTTTACGTTGTTAACCTTTTAATTATCTAGCAAATGGGTCCGCACGCGGTAAGGCCACAGCAACAGGTACATCCGCCACACTCGCAACCCTCGCCTCACCCTACATCACAAACACAGCAACAAACTCCCATGCAAGTACAGTATCCTCCAGGTGGAATAATGGGACCAAATGGAGTAAGCAGTTAACTGGATAAAACAATACAGCTTATTTATAGCTTTAAAATTCGATACAATAATGTACTGTAACTACAATAATCCTACATGTGATGTATTGTATTTCATTATATCTTGATATACTTGTTTTAACGTAGCCTTTCCAAAATCATCGAGTGGCGCCACGGCCGGCTATGCCTTCGGTAATTTGCTAACTACTATCATATTTAAGACTAGTTACTGTTCGTGCACATTTGTATAAGTACTTGTTATTTTTAATAAATTTGTGTCAATCTTACCGAAATATTTAGAATTCAATATAATTACTACTATTATGCACTAGTATTCGTAGTCCATTAATCTTATTGTGTCTCTGTTTGATGACTACCTTCCAGTAACTGCTATGCTTACTTATATGCTGTCTAAAGAATGATTGGTTATGTTATCAAATCAATGCAATTGTTTTCAAGTTTATTTACGTTAATCTTGATACTATAATGAATTGACGTAATAATACACTATCAATATAACTTAATCCAATGTACGTATGCGTATCACAAATTTATAGAGAGGAGTATCAGCAACACAACACCTTATGCCAAATACTATTAATCCAACTAGACAACCTCAAGGTAGCATCAAATTGCACAGAATATTGTTTTAGCTAACACAATTATAACGTAACATTCGAATATGAAGGTAATAACAATACCATTAGCTATAAGTAACATACTTTTCTTATAATCTTAAATTTTAAGGAAACCGAGTAATGGTTGCTGGCCCTAGTGGCCCACCAAATATTACCACAACTGTTCAGCAAAGAATGCCACCCCAGCAAATACAAATGCAACAGGTCTGAACTCAAAATCTTACAATAACTGTGACGATTGTACTAATGCAATTTATTACTTTGTCATTGTCATATAGAATTATCACAATACTTCTCAAATTAGATCACATGGCCCTAGTAATCAAATGGTGCCAACAACAATGCATCTATCTGCGTAAGATTTTCCTATATAAACGATCAATTTTATTAATAAAACGATTACAATGTGCTGCCTAAATAGCACTATTTGCGGTAATAATAACGTTATCAATTTTTATTTCTTAATAATGCTAGCGGTGGACGCCCTTGGCCACCAACTTCGGTTAGTGCCTATTGATTTTACTATAGTAAATTGTTCTTAGGGTTTCAGTACGATATTCGTGTTATTTTACTGTTACATAATACAGTAAAAGTATCAAATAAGTTGTTGAGCTTTCTTATTACTTAACAATACAGACTGCCGGGATGCATCAAAATCCTGGAAACATGTTGCAAGTTCATGGTTCGTCTATACGTAGATATGTCAATTTATCAATGTTGATAATACACTAATAATTTGCTCAACGTTCTTATTATAAGTCTGGCGATCAAAAACAATATCAATGTTGAAATTTTAAGTCAATTTTCTAATTATTTATGTAGGACATCCATCTACTCCTGTACGCCCACCACCTCATGGAATGCCACAAGGTCTTTTTCAAATTACCGATATTTATCATTGACGTTTCGTTTAAAACTTCTAAATTTAGAGATTGACTGCTGACATTGTTACTTACAAAGTTACAATCCTGATTTATTTGAATACATAGACCCTGCCAATACCAGTAACGACTCTATGTATACAATGATAAAGCCTGCTTCTGGAGTTCGTATTTTAAAACTTCTTTATCGCGTTTCTTAGATTTTATTTATTATTTTTAACTAAATAATCTAATTTATCGTATCCACTATAATTTAGTATACTATGAGTAGTGGCGGCCCTGATGGTATGTCCTTACCTTCACGGAACGATTTAATGCCAGGTATTTGTAACCTTGATATTCATCACATGAAAAAGTGAATTTTTCAGGGATGTTAGTATTGCAATTAGGCTAATAAACACTGTAAACCTTTTCGCTATGTTTCTTTAGATCATCCTGATGGTCTATCTATGCCAAAGGTAGATACGTTAGATTGCTTATATATTTTGGTATCATAACACAGATTGCAATGACTAACCTCAACGGAAACGATAAACTATGTAATTCTATCTAGGATGCAACAAATGATCCGACAGTCAGCCCTGCACACGAGCTCGACAATTATTTACCGTCTCCTTTTCAAACAGATCATGTTAGTAAATCTGTATATGCAAATTCTTAACGCAATATATATATATGGAAATTTAGAATAAAAATTAATCTATTTTACCAATTCATCAATGCATAGGATGAAAATGCTTCTGCTGAAATCCTAAAGGTTAAAGAAAGTCTGGAAGAAGATGCTAAACGATTTACGAAAGAGCCAGCTGATTCAGACTACTACATCCAGTAGCAAACGCCAAAATTTTACTAAATTGTTTTAGTTATTAAACAATACAGTAGTGAGAATTTTGAAATTGTTTGCTACAACTATTATGTATTAATATTAGCAAATGCTTATATGGGCTAGTGAGCAGCCGCAGTACATTATGTAATGTACTGAATCTGATCATGCTGATTATAACCTATTTGTACAAAGAGATTATATTATAGTTGTAATTGAAGGATTAATTTCACATTCTTTTAATTTTAGTATGTGGTAAGCAATACTTCTGTATAGTAAGAAAGGATTAACTGTAAAGTGTACAAGTTATTATTTGTAAGTTGACAAGATACTGCTAAAAATTCTTCTCCTGACTTTAAAATAATGGAATTTGTCATAGACATGGTCATAAGCATGGATCGAAAGGGTGACATAATAGAACATATGATACACCATTTCACTATACCTTAATACAATATTCGAAAAGTGGCGATGTAGAGAGCTATGTATTCTACGAAACAGTCTATGATTTGAATTTGAAGATTAATAATTGTGCCATTAACTTTAATTTCACAAAAGCAGCACTTTAAGGTATTTATACACAGCAGTTACACGCCATCGTAATAAACTACAAGCCTAATAGGCAAGATTTGTCATTATAATCTATCTGTACTTACTGATAGCAATGTTTATCAATTTATCAGTATAACTGTACTACATGTGCTGAGTTTCACAAATGCGCTACATATATTTCTATATAATGTATTCTTTTGATGATCTTTTCTTAAATGCTTTATAGAGTAACAAGAACAAATTTTGCTTTCAGTGTACTATCCCCAGTAGGAACAGAATATTAGATTATTATTATTATTATTGTTATTATTATAAGACTATTGATGTGGAGTCGTCTAATTTAATTTTAATATAATCCAATCATGGTATTACTTTGGGTTTGCGTAGCCCTCAATGTACACGGTATATAATTTTGCTACTCCGATGAGAATAAGAATAATGATAGTTAGTTCAACTGTATTGTGTTTTGCTTTTACGATTGCTATTAAAAAAGGTAATAAAATGATAACACAAAATCATGAATTGCCTTGCAGGTGCAGTAGCGTATGCTTATTCTATAGTACTGCATTGTCACCCTTGATGATTTCGGTTGAACAGCCGTTTTTATCCATTTGAACAAAGTAATGAAGGACTATTACTGTCCATTGTACAGTACAATCATTTCAAAGGAGGCTTGTAATTTATTCACAAAGGTAGTTTAGAAATGGTATTTGCTAGATACTCTTTCTACGTGCTATACGTAACATGGAGTAATTGATGCAAATATTACAGGAAAATTTCAAGCACTGTACAGTACGTGGATTGATCAAAACATTGATGGCATTACAGTGACGTGACGAATGGGATTTCTTTTCTCAGAAAACCCGTCAGTCCTTTACGTAACTTGTAAAATTGAATGTTTTTAGTGACCGGATCGTTAATACGATCGATCAGCCATAGAATTATAGCGAAAAAGAATGAAGATCTTCTCTGTACTGGATAGTATAAAGATCATGGTGCATAATAATTCTACCCACTCAAAAAGACGGGTTAAAGACCTGCAGTCGTCGTCCATACTGTACTGTACTCGCTACTGTATAACCATGGATTAGTTGAAGAAGATTTAGACTGATCACCCTTGGACGGACAGACACTTCCGCCTCATATGGTCAAAATATTATTTTCAAATGCAGTGCCCAAGCACTTGGTTATGACAGTACTTTAGTATGGAGACGATCGGTTTTAAATTGACTAATTTTTTCTGAATTAAGTAATATTACGTTAAATCTTATTATCGGTTAGTAAATTCCACTTGGAAACGGTTATATAAGATTGTAGATGTTATTTCAATTAGTACCGGTGATTTAGAAAACAAACACGGAAGAACCATACTAAGTAGCTATTTTGGATATTTACGGGCCCTCATTTGGTAAGAAAAGTCCGTCCGAAGTTGACCAATCGTGGTGCATAATAGACGAACCTCTCAATACTGGTCCAGACTAGACTTTCTTCTGGTAGTCCATGATACTGTGTAACTCATGCAATCCCTGCTGTGTCTACGGCATGGACCACGTTCTAATACTAGATGCATAATAGCACATCCATGTTGTACGTCGTACAACACTAAGTAGCTATTTTGGATATTTACGGATCCTCATTTGGTAAGAAAAGTCCGTCTGAAGTTGACCAATCGTGGTGCAGAATATACGAACCTCTCAACACTGGTCCAGACTAGACTTTCTTCTCGTAGTCTATGATACTGTGGAACTCATGCAATCCCTGCTTATGAATAGCACATCAATGTTGTACGTCGTACCGATCCGTGCCTGCACCGATTGTTCAACGCCCGAGAACCTGTAATTAATTTACTGTACTGTACACTGTACAGTACAGTACTGTACAGTACTGTACAGTACAGTCGTTAGGCTCAGTGTTTATGTACTGTACACTGTACAGTACAGTACCATTTAGCTAAAGACGAGGACCGAACGAGGACTGGACCACGAATGTCAGTTATACAGTATTGTATAGTACTGTGTGTAAAAATCTTTGACTATGTCAACTATAAATTACAGGCTCTCTACAGTATGTACACTAGCCCTAACCATTTTGCATCAATTACTTTGTACATTTCGTTTAACCTGTCCTGCTGATACATTAGACATGTATTGACATATGTAACAAAAAATCCAAGAAATCGTCCATCTCACGCGTATATCAACAGGACAGCTTAAACGAAGTGTAGAGTACAGTACAAAGTAATTCATGCAAAATGGTTAGGACTAATGTACTGTACTGTACACTGTACAGTATGGAAACATTGACGCAATGCCTGGCGGGACATTTTAACATTTTCACCTAGAGTACGGCACAGAATCTGGAATCTGGTACTACAGTACTGTACTGTACTGTACTGTACAGTATATCACTGGCTTCTTAGATTAAATTGCATACTAACTGTACTCTGCACCTACCGTACTGTACTGTATGTGCACTGTGCAGTACTGTACTGCGCAAGTGCAGCATTAGCTCAGGATTCCGCCTAATGCACATTGCACAGCTGTAATTATGCCTGCAACACAGTACTGTACAGTACGTGTTCTAAGATCAACACGAAATGAAGTGTACTTCAGTCGCATGTCAACAACTGCCAGAAAGGCCTTTCTTCTGCTAGTGACGTAATTTACTGTACTGTACGTACTGAGTCTGAGATAAACACGTTTGTCTGCAAAGTCTGCTACATGTAGCAGTGCGGTACAGTATAGAGTATTTAAAGGGAGATCAAGCTATTCACTGACAAAGATAAAAGAAAAGGAAGTAGCCAAGTAGGTCCAGTAGAATTCTAAAACGCCAAGTAAACTTGCTGCTATAAGGAAGCCATTTAATTCTTGATTGTGCTCATTTCTGATCGATTACTCTACTGTAGGTATACAGTACTTTCATTTTTAGATCTTAACTCGTAGTATGCACTTGGCATACCCTGAAATAGAACGTACTCCAACTTGTCAGCTACTGAAGAATATGACCCGGCGCGCCGAATAAACAGTCAGTACTTACTGAACATTTGGATTGATTCAATCGTTTCTCAAGAATATACGCATTCATCTTATAGCCAAAGCAACTGACAAAGTAGATCATCCATCCTTTACAAAATAAGGTATCCATCAACTTTTAGACTTATTAATGATAAAAATGATCAAATTTTAGTGACTCGTTGTTGTATTGATATACTGTACAGTATAATGTATTATTATTGATGCGATAAATGACTGTAGTTTGTAGAAATTGTTTTTCCTCATATCTATTCTTATTGGAATACGTAAATCGCTTTCCTATTTATTTTCGATATTCATACTCTATCTCATAAATCTTACATTGTACTTAACCAAAGAGCTGTTTATAAAAGGCCTGTGCATTGTAGTCAGTATACCATTAGTGGAGTTCAATTAATGAATATCGGTTATCAATAGACAGTTGCTGCTGCGATTGAAGACATCTACTGTATTTGTACGCGCTTCTCAACTGCCTACACCAACTACCTACCTTTCATTGAACCCAAATTAGACGTTTAATTAAGGAACCGAAATGGGACGCTTCTTTCAAAAACTGAAGTTACTAGTATGGAAGAATTTTGCCTTGAGAAAGAGACAAATCGTAAGTCGTTCTATTTCAGTTTTAATGATAATCAATACTGCACGCTATACTTGTTGTCAAGTAAAAACTTCAAATCTCCAATCCGCGTATCATTTACAACGCAGTATTATCTATATTGTACATTGTGCTTCTGTTGATATCCTTATACTGTACTGTAGACCCATACTGTAATTTTATCCGATTTAAAACTGCAAGTTACCCTTAAATGCTATCAAGGTTACTGTAGTGTTGTTTCCGATCGATGTAACCCACAATCCTTGATATATTTGAAGCTATAGCCAATGTTGAGTACTGTATATTTGTATCGCTGTCTCCAATGTTGTAATCACATATTGTACTGTACAAGTTCTGTCTGCTGAATATTCGTGCTGTTGATTGAGAAGAGAAATCGAAAGGCTATTGACCGTAATCTACATGTAACTTAATATAGTGCTGTCTATACACTTGATATAGACATTTTTCTTTTTCTGTTTGTTTTATTTCAGTGTGAAGGTAGAGAAACGAGTTACATCATATTTTGGGGACTTATTTTCCAGTTTTTCTTACTAAAGTCATACAATTGCTTTTTCACTACCGTGCTATCTTTGCGCCAATACACAATTTAGTGGTATTTTTTAGTGAAAAAAGCAACATAACGTTCGTTTACAATCATTTTTAACGTCGGTCTTATCTAGTTGTGCTAAAGAGTTTTGTTTTGCAGTCTGCGCCCAGTCATAATATTGATCACCCTAATTTTCGTAGCTAACTAGTAGAGACTTTATTTAGAGTAAGACTACAGAATTGGGCTATTAATCCTATAATTAATGACGTAGGTTAATACAATT